ATTTAAAGTCGAAGAAGTCCCAGTTTTATTTGACGCAAACTCGAAAAGTTTATCGGAAGATGAAGATCCATTTGCTGAATTAGACAATCAATATCATGTCGCTGTGGATCCTAATTTCATTGCCGATGATACTTCTAGTTCACAGAATTCACAAAGAGACAGTTCCGGTCAACCATTATTTGATAACAGCTTTTCTTCCAGTACAGAGAATAATAACATTGATAATGTTAAGCAGGAAATTGATAGTCAAATTCTTAACATTGCAAAATCACCATTAAAACTTCATGAAAAAAACAATGATGAAAATGATATTGATGAAAGAGAAAATATAAATTCTAATATTAATCAAAATACAGACAAACAGTCAGTGGGTTCAGATCACTTGCCAACAGTGAACTCATTCACGGTTGATGAAATATGTATACCGGGTGCTAATAATTTGAGTACAGAATCAAAGACACCTCATACTAGTTCTGCATCAAAATCTATATCATCTAATACACGTAAAAGACCCGTTGACCAACAATCATCTCATCGTAAAGAAAAGCGAAAAAAATCAGAAGACGGTCCCCCTGACCCAAAGAAGAAGAAAGGTAACAAAAATTTCACTAATGTTCCTTCAAAAATGGGAGAACCACAAAATCGAAATGAAAAAAAAGTGCATAAAACAAAATTTTTGCATAATAAAGCTGAGCGTGTGAAATTCACTGAAAAAGAATACTCGAATAAATACGTTAAACGAAAAAATATGAATAAAAATGAAAAACATAATGGATCTAGAAAAAAGAATACTACTCCCTCAAGTCATTCCAATTTATCTGTCACCAAAACTAACGTTACCATTACTCCGCCTAAAACAGACCCTAAAAATACACTTAAAACTATAGATATGTTTATACAAAAACCAAAGAAAGTAATTATTCATCAGGCTCATAGAAATACTGCGGTTGTACCAAGTACAAAATTGACATCCAACAGTGAGAAAGACGAAAGTAAAAAAAAAGATGCGACTTTTAAAATATTACAGCGTGACGCGGAAACTCAAGTACACATAGAACTGGTGTCGAAAGATACACAAACAACTGAAGATATTATTTGTGCCAGATGTTCCTTATCTGAGGATACTATCTTCGTCGAAAACCTTCAAATGGATCCTACACAGATAGAAATAGAGTCTGTTCAAGCATTAAATCCTTTAGCAAGAATGAAGGAAATTGATTTACAAATTCAGAATTTAGTAGAAGAGAAATTAAAATTGTACAGATCATTAGGATTGAATGAGCCAAGTGAAGACTCTTTACAATCGTTAGGGATAGCTATATTAGATATACCGCAAATTGATGAAGACAGCAAAGATGAAAATGTTGACAAAGATTGTCTGGGTTTTAATGAAATTATAGAGGAAGTTGTAGATATACCCATAAGCGATCTTGTAGAAATAGCAAATGAAAACACACAAGAAGTACATAATGAAGCATGTAGTGAAACAATTAATACCAATAATACCATTGAAACGCCAAAAGGAAGAAAATTAACTCGGCGCCAAATGATGTTGCAAGAAAGGAAAAAATCTATCGGCCCGAAGTCGACCAAAAAAGTGAAAAAAGATAAATCGCCAAATATTTCTCTTATAGAACAGATCCTCAAGGATGATCGACCACTTGAAGAAATTATAACTTTAGACGATTTCGAAAAACCAACAAGAGCAAGGAGGAAATCACAAAGAGTACAAAGAACAAACAAAAGGATAACTAAAACTCCAAAACCGCCTATAAACTTAAATGACCTTAATATAATTGAGATTAGAGATTGCTCTGTTGTTTTAGTTAAAGAAGATTTAAATAAGCTATTAATAGAATATAATACTAGACATTTTGAAGATGAAGTAATACAGTACGAGCCTTTAGAATGTGCCAGTTTTGTTGAAGCTGTAGAGATTCCGGATAAAGAAAATTCTGATATTCAACTTGATATGTTAGATGTATCAGAAGATATAACTATTGATAATAACTATGAAGGAAAATCTGGACAAAATAAAGAGTTAGGGATAGCAGAGGATTCGATAAGTGAAGAAATTATTCTTGGTGATAGTCAATCGAGTGAAGATTCGTTAATTCCGATATCAAGTGGAGAGAATGAATGTAAAACATTTGATTTCGCTGCTGATGAAAATTTACGTCGTGACTCAATAAGTGTCACAGGGCAAGCTGATGCTGTTCTTGCAATTGAAGTAAGTACAACTTTCTTATTATTCCTTTACTTGCATGGACAAACTAAATAAATATGTTAATTCTATGTTTCTTGTCATTTCCTAGTGTCAAAAATGTAAAATCGGTGAATCAATTCTCTTAATCTATACATATTAATAAAATTAGAATGTCTGTATGTGATATTGAAAAAAATTTCATTTCGTACACATTGTATTTGCGTTGCTGATAACTAAATACCAATTTTTAAACAGTTTTGTTTGTATGTCTGCAAGGCCATGCTTGTTCCCAGTAATCTCCGGAACGGCTAAACTTATTTTGACGGAACGATAGTTATGTTTGTGGGCATATAGACTACTTTTTTTTAAATTCTGCGGAGAGGAAGTCAGCATATCTAGTTTGTATTTGGAAGTATAACTCTGTACCTTGTTGTAACTGATTAATTTTTAATTTCAGTGTATAGATAATAATTTCGTGGCAGCATGTTTGGATGGCAATGTATATTACTTCAGTGGTGATGGTCAACTTATCAATACATTGAAGGGATCAAACTTGGCTGTTACTTGTCTGACAATTGTTAAAGATAAATATGAAACTACAATTTATACCGGCTCTTTGGACTCTAGAATACGGTACTATGACCTGGAGGTAAGCATATATCATACATAATTAAAAAAAAATTCAGTCACTATTTTTTTTAATTCTTACCTAGTAAATGACATACAGACTTCCTGGTGATAGATTGATTTGAAATTTAATGATATAAATCTTTGATTCTACTGACAATACAATTATTAAATGGAAAAAGTTTTATGTTTTCTAATTTTTATTTCGGGTTTAGATTATAAGGCTTTCTCATTGATTACTACTGAGTTTAGTTAAAGTACTTTTAAATTTTGCAGACAGGAATAGAGAAGGGACCTGAATGTAATGTTCTTAGTCCGATACAGACAATGGACCGAGCTTGGGACACTGTCTTTGTCGGAACCAGGACAGGATTTGTTTTGCAATTTGAGTGTAAGGTAAGTTCACAAAAGCTTTAAGCAACATGCGTGTGTTGCTATGGCAACACTGTTTAAGAAGTTTAGACTTTGGAAGCCTTATCAAAATTATTTTTACAGAATAATATGCTTATACCAGTAAGCACGGTGAAATTCTCTGACCAGTCTATATTGGCACTACGAGCGATGAAAGAAGGACCTCGTAAAGTACTTCTAGTTGCGTCAAGGGCTGAGAATGTTACAATTAAAGATGCACAAACTGGACTGTTGTTACGAACACTTGAGGGCCCAAAGATGACAGTCTACACATTGCTGTATGAAGACGGCAAAGTCTACTGTGGTACCAGCAATAATCAGATACAAGTCTTTGATTATACGGTCAGTTATTTATTATTAAAATTATGTAAATATTGTTCAAAAACAAAGGGAGGTCCTTAATCTCTTTATTGAAAAATGTCATTCACTCCAACCCCTCTCTCATTTTCGGTTTCTCCTTGAAATAATTAAATTTGATAAATAATATTATACTTAATGACATTAGATTATGTATAACATATTTCACAAATATTTTCTTATCTATTATAATAATGGATTGGTTATTTGTTTATGAACAGAGTGGCAGCCATGTTGGTGTGCACGAAGGTGGTAAGGGCGCGGTGTGCCTGCGCGCGTGCGGCGGCCTGCTGTTCGCAGGATGCTATGACGGCTGCGTGTACGTGTACAGGGAGGGCGAGACGAGGCCCCTCGCACAGATCCGAGGCCCTGGACTGATGCTACTCTCATTGGCTATACTCGGCACCAAGGTAAGTGCTACGGTGCTACGCTATGGTTGGCTGCTGCAAGGACTCCCTCTAGAATGTTGGCAACAAGGGGTTTAAGCATTTTTTTTATTAACAAAAATAGGTTAGTTCCATTTCTATAAGTTCAGAACGTGTCCGCCTCATCTTGTGTTTACGAAAGATGTGTAAAAATTAATTTTCCTTAAGAAGGTGGCAACATTGGCCGATGTCACTATTTAAATAATAAAAAAATGTATTGAGATTAATGGAACATTTTTTTTTTCAGATAATCGCTGGTTTTAAGGACAGAAGTTTATGCATATGGAAAATTCCATTAAGTATACTCCAAGAGATGATTTTATAAGTTTAAATATAGTATGTATTGTAGTTTCCCGTTGATTGTTAACGTTAGTCCATATTATGGAATTATTTTGTTAATAAGACCTGTTTACCTTGTATATAATAAATCTTTAGATTATCTAATATAGTTTTACAAGAAATAAAAATTACGTTAACATTATTTTTCAATGTTTTTCATTGCTATCTCTCAAAAATTGGTTATGGAAAATGGAGAACACTTATCACAAACTACTGATAACACAAAACCAAACTTTGTGGATATCGTCTGTTTTTGGATGTTGTCTGGATTTCTTTTTATTGTAAAAAATGTAGATAAAATCCAAATAAACTTTTGAAAAAAAAAACTATTAGTTAAATAATAAGAAGCTTAGAAGGAAAATTCGTGAATTCAGGAATTGGAATTACAAGAGTAACCTGTAATAAATACTTCTTCGTATGCTTATGTTACTTTATGTGGCGAACAAAAAATATTTTTTATTAGCAATTGGTCAACGAAAGTACGTTAATTGTAAAACTTCTTTTTTTTTCAATATTGAATCCAACGATAATTTTTTAATCGAAAAAGTATATAAATGTTCATAGTTTAAGTAATGAATTATTTAGAACGCAGATTAATATTTGCCAAGTGGCACTCCTGCCATCGAGTGAATTTCTGACTTACGTCAGTGTGGGTGTTTCAGTGTCGGCAGCCATTATTCTACGTATTAAATTGCAATTTTTGCTGTTTCGCATTAAAGTATTTTTAAAACAGAGAAATTAACTATTTTCTATATTATCCACAATATTATAATTTTCAGTTGGGATATATTTGTACTGTGATAATGAATCCAGAATAGTAAGTATTGCTTTTTTTCTTTTCGTGAACTTGTAAATCAAGGATGGGTTAAAATTTATGATTTAGCACATTTAACTTATACATATAAGTAGACGTCTTAAGAAATGTGGTTTGGAAACTGCCATATCGCTTTTACTACATGAAAAATAAGAGTACTAACGAAATCGAACTGGTGACTCATTACGTTCATGGTACGGGCTGTATCGAAACGTAATTGTAAAAGTCTACGTGAATGGCGAACAATCGAACAACGTATAAGATCACCCTACTTCCTTTGTTGTGAAACTGTCAATACTATAAATATAACAAACATTTTAACGTTGATCGAAAATCTCCTTTGTTTAGTGTAACAAAGATACGCCTCCTTGTTAAGGCCGAATGATTTGTGTCCTTACGCTTGTTTATTTACGCATTTGATTAGACATTCGATAAAATTTTGAGAACAATCTTTTCCTATATGGTATATAACTGTATCCTTTGATTTTATATGTCATTTTCTCCATTTAAGCGTAATATATTTTAATTTTCAGCGACTATTTGTTCAAACTTCTCCTCATTGGCGACTCTGGTGTAGGCAAATCTTGCCTACTGCTCAGGTTTGCTGATGATACATACACAGAAAGCTACATCAGTACTATTGGTGTAGACTTTAAAATTCGGACTGTAGAACTAGATGGGAAGACAATAAAGTTACAAATATGGGACACAGCGGGGCAGGAGCGGTTTAGAACAATCACATCATCATATTACAGAGGGGCACATGGCATCATCATTGTTTATGACTGCACAGATCAGGTAAGGTCAATGTATTTGTAGATTTAATCATTTATTTTATTGGTGTCCTGTCCCAGTGGCCATTGTTTATTAGATTATAATTCTTTTACATTTCATTATGTACAAAGTGATTTGATATTGAATTAGTTATCAAGTTCAAATTCAGGTTAGTATGTTACTTCAAATTATGATTAGCTATTTCTTATATTCAAAAATCTTTACAATCAATTATTAAAACAAAGAAGAATTATGTTTGTAATAGAAATTATGATGCTCTCATTTTTTATTTAGTCTTTGACATTATTTCAGTTTTGGCATTGCACATACTATGTTTAATTATTGATGTCTGGTTTGGAACAAAGATACATCCTTGATCTTGCACTTACATTCCAATTTAACAAAGAGCACACAAAGCCTTGACTTGATTTTTTTTATTTTGTTTTTCTCAGCTTAGTTACTTATAAATGGTACTGTTGTGACTAGATACTAAAACTTTTAAATTCAATCTGTTGTGAAAAGTGTAGTGAGGTGAAAAGTCATATGAATCTAATTATCTATATTAATATCATAAAGAGATAAGATTTGATTGTTTGTTTGTATTGAATTGGCTCCAAAACTGATCTGATTTGAAAAATTATTTTACTCTTGTAAAGCTACACTATCCTCTGGTGTTATAGGCCATATTTAAAAATAGATTTTTATTCCACACAGTTGTAGGACCAGGAAACTGTTTTAAATATAAATAATGTAATTTTTCTGAAATGAGGAATTTGAACATTGAACTTTGCACTCTAAGCAAGATGCAGACTAGTTATGCTAAAATAATGAATTTGTGCCTTGTGTACTAACACAACTACTAAAGTATGTTCTTATAATTAAGATATACATAGAAAATCGTTAAAAATTGCAAAAAATAATAAAATGAAAATACAATCAGTCAATATCTGTATCTTTCATTAGATTATGTAAATAAACATGAGTGTACTTGTTTACCATTTATCATGAGTTTCCGAGTCCATAATCCCCATTTAAAACATATATTTGTTTTGTCAAATGAAAGACAGGGATGACAATATTTTTATACAGATTTTGGTGTTAGAAACCCATGGTAAGTCCTGCAAGTTCACTTTAGTATAAAACTTCTAATAACATTGAAAGTGAGAGTTAAACTTGGTTTTGAAAGTTGATATAATTCAGATCATATTTAACTTGGGCATTTCAGCTGGCACAGAGCCAAAAATTTGCATTGCGTTTCACTGTTTGTAAACATTTTACCTTAATATGTTACATTAAATGTAAAATAGTTTGAATGTCGTAAAAAATATTTAATCTTAAAAGATACATAGTGTTAATGAGGAAAAATATTTACAGTAGAACTTGGAAAAGGAAAAATATTGTCGTTAATTGGACTCTCGCTTATCCAGGTTCTACTATAATGAAATGTTTTTAAATATAAATTAGGTGCAGATAGGTTCTGAAATCATTTTATTTTTTTCCGGTTATGTTTACTCATTTACAAATGAAGCTAGGAATATACTAAATTTGTGTCGTAACACTTCATTGTTCAAGAAATTTGCTTTTCCTTTGCAATAAAACTTTTCGTTCTTTGAAATTATCAGGTTTACATAATTTATAATTACAAATGCTTGTGCCTTTGAACCTCTGTAGAAAAATCTTTAAAAATAAAATGTAAATTTGCAGGATTCATTCAGCAATGTGAAGCAGTGGCTGGAGGAGATTGATCGCTATGCATGTGACAATGTCAACAAGCTTCTTGTCGGAAACAAGTGTGATCTTACCACTAAGAAGGTTGTCGACTACACCACAGCTAATGTGAGTACCCTGACGGAATTTTAAAAATAAACTTAATCAGTAGGCTATGTTTTAAATCTGCCAAATTTTAGTAAGATCTATGCAACTGTTCTGGAGATACTTTCTATCAAGCATTTATATATCCAGACATTTTGCATTTATAATATTAGTAAGATAAGAACAAAGACATTTATTGATGGCATTGATAATTTTTGCAGCAATACGCGGAGCAGTTGGGCATCCCATTCCTGGAGACATCGGCGAAGAATTCCACAAATGTGGAGCAGGCATTTATGACAATGGCTGCTGAGATTAAGGCGCGTGTTGGGCCGCCGTCCGCCGGCGCGCCGCCCGGAGCTGCTGTCAAGATAGACCAGGGACGTCCCGTTGACACTGGAAAGTCCTCCTGCTGCTGAACGCGCACACGGTAACAATAAACAAACTTAGAATCAACTAAATAGATATTTTATATGAATAGACATCCGCAATTGTAGATTCATAGCCAATTTCTTCGAAGGACGAGTCACATGGAATGAATATTTTCCCTTCATATGGGTCTCCTCCTCTGTTAGAAAACGAATCCATTCTTTAATTTTATAAAAAAGGTGCAATTGCTAAACGGTGTATTTTGGATGTATTGACAGTAGTCCTTATGAATTTCTATAAATGAAATACAATTTTAACATTAAAGATTTATGATATTACTGCCTGTCCTTAAAATATTCTTTCAAGATTTTGTATATGTGATTAGACAGTGTAAACTCAGAGTAATAACATTGTGCAGGCTGGCAGCGGGACGCAGAGCGCGTGTGTCGCAGGCTCGCGCGGCCGGCCGCCGCACTCACAACAAATGCAATCACCACAAAAACCTTTCACGATCGCAAACTTATTATAAATTAAATTAAATAAATTAAACCATAGTGTTGTGCGCAGTTGCCGCGCTAAGTAACCCTAATCCACTGCAATATTAATGCATATTGTCATCTCTGATATTACAGAGGTAACAATGTGTGTTGATACATTGCTGCAGTGGAAACCCACTGCAACGCCAGCTAACTTCTCCTAAGTTGCTATTGTCCGATATTGTTAGTTAAAAGATGGTGAGATGGATGGGTGTATGTTTATACATGTTTATATATAAAATGAATATCGTAGGTTAATTTTTTTGTGCTGTATTCCAAAATAGGGATCATTCGACGCGAGTCTATTTAAATTTGGAATGAACGGAATGGAGTTGGTGTACTAGGGATGTGCGGTATAACAAGAAACATCGATAAAAATTGTACGAGTTGTGGAATCGATTTCTGAACTTACAATTTTATGATAAAAAATAAAAATCTATCTTCCAAATGTTCTAATGTGTTTAAGAATCTAGGAGACTATGTTATTTCAATTGTAATAAGTAAAAAAACAATCAAGATTTAATTTTATTAATTTTCATTTAATATTATTATTGTTATATTATTTATAATTTATATTCAATTTTAATTTTTCGTATCATATATTGAGGTAACATTGTCTTCTTTACTGAAGATCTCGGTGACATTTTTACAAATTGATGTTAAACATTTTGTTATTGCCGGCTACAATTACATACTAGTCGATTTCATTATGTTATCGATTCAATAACAAATCCCCTCGATATAAAAACAACGATTTAATTTAAATATCGCACATCCCTAAAATCAGGTGTTTCCCGTGAGATCAAACGGTCCAATGGCATATATATCTTAGAATCAATCGGATTAATGGTAAATATCATTGGGCCGTTTAGCCTACCGAATGATAAAATGGGGGGAAACTAACCTAAAAGCTCCGTTGTCCATTAAATATATATTATTAGGCTTATTTTTATTTTTCAATTATTCCAGCTTCGTCACATAAGTTTCACCACGGTACTAAGTATAAGAAATTTCTCTTTCGCACTGGGTGTTTATATGCATAACATCATTAATACTGAGGTTGTGCTGTGTTCTGAAATTTTGTGTTCTAACTTTATTAGTGTCATCTTTAAACACAAAATTGTAGATATAGCAGTATTGGCCTTAGTTTAGACAAGATGTATAGCAGTTTAGTGGCCGGATTGTTCAATTCACAGCGGGAACATAGTAGTAAAAGACATATATTAGCAGGTCTATAATTTTTAATCATTTTTTTTAACAACGGTGCAATGTTTCAAATATCGTGGAAAAATACGCGCTCGTCTCTTAAGATATAAACATGTAAAGTATTATAGAGAGAAAGATATTTGGATTATTGGATTGGATATATTTTTGTTGTAAACAATCTTTTAATGTAATTTTACTCAAGTTATTTTTGTACTATTACGTGAGAGTTAAGTTCATCTACTTAAATCAATCCGCTAACCCACTGTTATTCTGTATTGAGGGTTTCTTAGAAATTAAAACAGTATGCTATAAAGAGATGTTTTATTTTACATTCCCTTCACACATTTACAGTTTTACAATAGAAACAAATAAAAATATTTATGCATAATTAAGTTTTTGAGACCAATGACCCCGTCTCCGTTAATTTTGTGATATCAGAAACCAACGGTAAATCCAGAAATGCAGTTGCAAGTAATTACAACGTTAACAAAGTCTGAAAAGTGAAAAATTGATTACAACGCCATCTACTGTCTGATCGAGAATCACATCACGCGTGTGATCAAGCTCAAAAAATATCATTACAGACGCAAAATAATCAAAAAGTTTAAAAACATTCTAGTCAAAGAGGAAATACAAGCTAGCAGCAACACCTCATCATGTATTCATAGTCGTGGCAGAGACCGTGCAAGTTGAGGGGACATTGCAGGAACTGAGGACATAACACGGGCAGCTTGTCTGAAATGCAATGTAACACACTTACTGTGAGTTTCTCAGACCAAAAACTCCCTATAAACATTTTGTCAAAGATGAAAGTCAGGGTTTCAGAAACCCACAGTAATCATTCGCTAACTAATGCTAACGGCAACTTAACTATAATTACCTAATGGATAAGCACATCCGCAACAATATCCGTGGATGATCGCCTCGTCGTCTTCGCAGCCGCGCGGAGGGCAGCCGTTACATCTTAATCCGAAACCGAGGAATGGAAAGTTCCCTAGTGCGAAAAAAACAATGTAAGTCCTTGGATTTTTTTTTAACTTTGAGATATCCGATTTGAGAAAGAGATACGATTTTCAATCAGCAATATTATTAAGAAATTTCTATCACAATCTCCAAGTTTCTAGGAAGTAATTACATAGAAAAATAATTTGCATATTTCAGTTGACAAAATATAAAAGTAAAATTCCTAATACTTACATCTCGGTGCTTTCCTAATACCATTTAAACCTATATCAGATGAGCTTGAAAATAAACAATTTCCCTTAGGAATAAATAAGACTACAGTCAAAGTAAGAAAACACAACTTTAACAGCATTTCGTAACTTTTGTTGATTGTATGAAGCAGACGTTCTATATAAAGCCCTTCAAAGTAATTAGTTATCTAATTGCGCAGGTCAGTGCCATGAGATAAAATGTAATTAGTTATTTTAAAAGCAATTTGAAAACTTAAACATTCAACATGTTTAAGTTTACATGCGTAGCGTAAGTTGTAATGTTACAAATTGTGAGATGTCTGACTTGGTGGATCGCTATTAAAAAGGACATTGGTTTCTATACTCGCATTAATATATAAAAATATTTAAATGTATTCTTTAAGAATATGCTAGCACAATCTGCTAGCAAAACTCCTTGAACAAAATGTTCTACAATTGACCGGATAGATGGCGCCACCCCTATAGTTGGCAATAAAGGACGATAGATGGCGCTAATCCGTGACCTTAATTTCTGAATCGCGATGTTAAGATTTTTATTTAGCGAATAAGTACCCGGGGTGCCAAATCGTCAGTATCGCTTCTCGGCCTTTTGGCTAAGATCAAAGTGTAGTATCTGTTCTTTTCAGCTTAATATCTGAAAGTTCCCGCATCGCGGGACCAGTATATTAAACTGATTTTTGTAAAGCGACGGGATGTTCGGGGCTCGCTCCACTCCCGTCACGGGTCGGCCCGGCATTGCAGTGCCGCCGGGATCGGCCCACATAATAATCATGACAAAGTAAACTCACATCCTAGTTCCTACATTAAGACCTGGGAATCGATATCACTATTGAATTCAGCAGATACCTCAGTAATTGAACCGATTGTAAATATGGGGAAACGTAATATTTTAGTCGCCATCAGTCAATCGAATAATTATAAATAAATGTATATTTTATTAATTAAAAAACGGTCTATTGTGTCGGAGGCGGAGACTTATGCTTACGCTGCAAACTAAGTAAATAAAAGTCAGATTATTTAAGGAATATTTATTTATCCTACGCAATAAAATGTTTGAAACATCCTATAATATAGATATAATTTTAAGGAATACACTATTAATACATCAAGAATAGGAAGAAATTGGGACTAAAATCTATACATCACATTAAAACAGAAAAGGTTGTCTACAACCTTTATTCAAAATGACTCAAAAACAATGTTCATGACATCTACAAATGTAATAACGAAGAATATTAATAATACATCTATAGTACAAGTTATTAGCAATAAGAGATGTTATGATCTATACACTGGCGCGCTCAATAAGATCGGGTGTGAATGCAAGAGAAGCGCGACGTCGCAGCGCGCGCGGGGCTCGCTCAACCAGCAGTGCACCACTCTCGCACTGCTTATTGCCCAGGCAGTTGCACGAGCACACCTACATAAATTAAATATTTATTAAAAGTCTCTGGATACATTATTTAAAAAGTACGGCTTCGTTAGACCTAGGCTAAGACCCCACCGGTGCTTAATCTAGTCGGTATCTACACCGAAGTATGAGTGAAGCCTTAATTTTTAATTATTTTATTAAATATCTTATCACCACAGTCATTATTGTCAGCTCATATCCCACCGAGGGGCACGGAGACAACCTAAGTTAACTAGGCTGATATTGTTCATTATGATGCTTCCATTATCATAAATGACTGAGTGTTACTGGACTAATTTATTTTTGTATACAGCGTGTCCCAAAATTCAACGATAAAACTGTAATGGTGTATAGCCAGATCGCTAACTACACGGGAGGGAATTTTGGGACACGCTGTACATTCATATTCTTTATATCATTATTTACTAGCATACCAGTATTAACGATAAATGTTCATACTTCTGCAAACAATTTCCAGTAACATTGACTATGTTGCACACATTAATGCTTTACGTTCTACGCAAACATGGTTTAAACATTATAAAATAAATCAACTCACGGAAGCCTGGTCTTCATGAGAGCGCTGCCGAATTGCGATGGCATGGCCGTCGATAGGCAACATGGTGCGGGAACCATCTTTGTCCTCGTCACGAATATTCTCCTCAGCTTGCCTGACAAATTGATTACAAAATGTTTAATTACTATTATATACAGTTAAAGTGCACTTATTATTTTTGCAATATAGTGTATAATAATTAATTTTTTATATCATTTTCATAAAAGAATATTTCAAACTTACATAGTCATAAAACGTAGCACAAGTAAATTAATACTCGCAGCAACCACTGCTAGTCCAAACAATATGAACACAAGACTGAGAGCCACATAGCCAGGCTTGCTGGTCAGAGCTTGATCATTCTGAAAAAAAAAACGATAAAATTTAACATTAAATTTGACAGATTGCAAAAAAAAGATTTAAGTTATATAGCAAAAAGATTAATCCATTTCGACTTCAGCCAGTTAAAAATCACAACTTGTTACCTTCACGCATTCCTGAGAAAAATGGTCTTGACAGACAGACGGACAACAAATTGAGCCTATAAGGGTTCTGTTTTTTTCCTTTCAAGGTACAGAACCCATTAACATATCAATTGTTAGAATTAAAATAGTTGTTTATAAAAAACTTACTTGCAGAGCAACATAGTCCCCAAATCCAATAGTAGTAAGTGTTACAAAGCAGTAGTAGAAACTATCAAAGTAACTCCAACCTTCGTAACGTGAGAAAACCGCAGCTCCTAAAAATATTGCATGTTAGTCACCGTTGGTTTCTGAGACCAAAATCTGTGTAAAACATATCATCCCTGTCTTTCATCTTTGACAAAACAAAGGTAACAATATGTTTTAAACAGGATTTGGTATCAGAAACCCACGGTCAGTGCATTAACTTTACAATGCCTATATAAGCATCAATCAACAGTTGTGTAGTTAATAGTCTTTTTCACAATCTTTTACTTAGACTTGTGAAATGAAAATTAAAAAAAAATCAGTGGTAGTTAAGAAGATACTTACATTGTAACAATGATCAGGTTGTGCGAACAAAATTCAAACGAAATGAAAAGCTGTAAATAAATAAAAATTATAACAAACATAAATAAAAAGGAAACAAAACTGTGGAAAAATTGTGTTTGCAGCTTCAATAGTGATAGAAGTGTAAAAGACAATTTCATTCTATACCTCAATTTATGTCAGTTCAATATTATCTTTCTTCTCTTTTATGTAAACAAATGTAAATAATTTTTAATCCAATTGCCTTATCGCTACCTAAGAATTTTTATTTCAATATAATAAAAAAATTAAAGAATTTAGATTTAACATTTATCAGTCTGCAAAAACATTGTTTTGTTATACAATTTAGCGGCAACTAAAACTTGGAAGTTGGTTTAGTACCATTTTTTTAAGTTTGGAATAATTTATTGTAGAACTGACAATGTATTTGAAAAAATTGCTTTACCCGTAGTTATAATAATAGAAGACAGCATTCCAGTAGCAAACATGAGGTTCATTTCTGTGGCCTCTGTAGTCAAACAACGTAGATAGCACTTGGCTCGTCTTATCACCACTGAGGCAAACTTGTTGAGTCTCTCACCTATACTTTGGAACATCACCAATCCTAATGGGATACCCACCTACAAAATTAACATTTTTTAATGAAACAAGTTAACAAAAAAGCATATGACTACTTATTAAGCAGCATATGCTGCTATTAGGCCATTACCAAAGTTAATAAAAATAACATAGTTTGTAAATGCGTTACATATCTTATTTAGAACAGAGGAGAGCATCTACAAAAAGGGGTATTTCCTTTACCTAAGATCCCTGTCTGATCCCTTTTACTTTCTTGTCTACATAAAGACAGGAAGTGAAAAGCTAGGGAAATTAAACCAATACTAACCATAGCATATGCCATACAGAATGCCTTTCCACCAACAGTAACTGGTGTTGAGTGCCCATAGCCAATCATTGCAAGTACAACGGTAGCAAAATAAAAAGCCCCTGCAAATTTCCACTGTGGTCCCGCTTTGTGAGGTTTATTCTCAATAATTACAATTTCAATCATGTGGTAATCTTCAGGAGTTATGTTGTACTTCCGCACTAGACTATTCTTCATATCTGAAATACGGACAGAAAAAAGTTCCAGTGTCTTTTCAATATATTTTCAATATTTTTTTTATTTTATTGGTTCAATATATGAAACATACCGGATAAGACTTCCCATCTTTTCCGTTCGGTATCAGATTCTAGGGCATCGAAGACCGCAGCACCAATCAACAAGTACGTAAAAGTACACACAACAAGGGAGAGTGTACGAACGTTTTGCCGCTTCATTTTCACAGTTCTGAAAATATTGAACGACAAATTTTTAAAACCCTGTGAAAAAGCTGCGAGAAAAATTAAACGACAACGAAACAGGCTTTATTGATTTTTGTTTTCCTTGATTGATTGACAGCAGCCGGCCGTATTCCATTCAAAGACTATAATAAAACAATAACAATAGCTTTTCGCTCGTAAATTTTTCACTCTATTTTTTTATAGAGAATAAGAGAGATAAAAATACTTTTGTATAAATTGTTTTTGGAGTGAAAACCTACAGATTTATTGCGTGAGATGCACAACAGAAAAGTATATTTTTTAACTCTATCTCTATCGGCTACTGTTTGTTAAATTGAGTTATTTGTCAAGGTGACACTGACAGTGACAGTTGTCTTTATCGTCATCGTGTCCGATTTCGGTCTAGATCTACTTGTTACATTTAATTTATACGTTAAATACTCGACATTCTTTAGCAGATTGTGAATTAAAAGGAGAAGATCTTCTTGCATATTTTTAAGTAAAAATACACCATGAAAATATCTTGCAGTAAAACTAACCCTCCTTTAGGTTAATCATTTGATTATTATAAGTGATGAAAAAATGCGGTAAAAATTAAATAATTACACTGTTTAAACGTTTTAATTTACAATTTTCAGGAGGCTTAATGGCTGCAGAGCTATATAGGTCATCAGTGAAAGATTTAGAAATAGTGTGGGGGAGTGAATCCCACATTCTTCTTCCGAATTCATCTAAACCGGTGCCATATGGAACAAGCAATGATTTGATAAGAATATTAGAGAATGCGTTTAATAAGTCTGCTGGTCCTCTTCAAAAGGTCACAATGAACCATTGGCTTTCATTTAGTCTTGTAATAAATGAGGACATTTCACAATCAGTTCAATATCTTGACAAGATCCTTGGGCCTCTAACCTATCTTGTGGGGGAGTCATTATCAGTTTCTGACCTAGCAGTATTCAGCGTATTGAACTGTAAGTAATTTTGTGTTTTTTGTCATAAAATAATGAAAACTCTCCTACATAAAAGTTCAATGTAGCTTATCTTATATCATAAACTGATATTTTGGTGGTAAATATTTGGTTACAATATTTATCTTTTTTTTTTTTGATAGATCTGTTAATCATTATCACAAAAGAGGTATCATGAATTGAATACAAACATAAATGCTTTACTGGGTTCCTAAAACGAAAGATAATATGTTTTTTGTTTATTTTTTGTTCAATAAAGAATTTTTAATTTTAATTTATTTCTAAGTGACAAGTGACATATGTTTTCTTTTCCAATGCTCAAATAAGTTCTTATAGTGAAAATTATAATTGAACACAATTGAACTGTTAATTTTTTAATAATAATTGTTCTTATAGTTTCCAGCAAATTTAAAGATGTCTCTGGTAAAATTTCTCCAACTAATATTCTCCGATGGATGAAACTTATACAGGCTCAAGAACCAGTTGCAAAGGTGCTTAAGCAAATACCAGATGATGTTTTAGGGAACCTTTCAAAGTCTCCGAGGTAGGGAATCATCTACATAGTAAATATGAGTATCTTACTTCTTATTCTTATTTATAATATTATAAATGTGAATGTTTGGATAGATGGATGTTTATTTGAAGGTATTTCTGGAACGGCTTCATGAATCTTGCTGAAATTTGAAATAGTCAGGAAGGACACATAGGCTAATAATACTAATAGCATACCAAAACTCATAATTAAATTAGAGTGAAAAGTTTTCGGAGTCAATTTAAAAAAATATTTCTCCAATTGTTTAATTTAGAAATGTAACCATGTTGATTTTTTAATAATTGTGTATAACCTAAGCCAGATAATGTTTGATTAAGAATGAATTGTGATTGAAGTTTCAAATTATATTAATATGACTTTCAGGAGATCTCCAGCTGCTAATAAGGAGGTTGGAGGGAGAGCAGCTGAGGGAAAGTTTATTGAACTGCCACATGCTGAGATGGGCAAAGTTGTTGTGAGATTCCCACCAGAAGCTTCTGGGTGAGATTTTTTTTTGTACTTTTTTATTTTATGTTCACAAAGAGTTTATCAACATGTTAGAAAAATGAGCAATAGCCTATATACTACTTGTTGAAGATATATAGTCAAAACTTGCAACTTTTTTTTGTTTTAGATACTTGCATATTGGCCATGCTAAAGCCGCATTATTAAATCAATACTATCAGCAAGCGTTTGAAGGCAAACTTGTTATGAGATTTGATGACACAAATCCTGCTAAAGAAAATGCTGATTTTGAAAAGGTATGGTCAAAAATAAGTCCATATAAATGGATGTAGCATGTTTTTTACATTTTGCACTACTGTTTTTTTATAAAAAAAAAGTAGGTGTTTATGACATTGAATGTGTTAATCTATCACAAATATTGTTTTTCTTTTATTATTTTAAATTCATATTATAGGCCACATTTTGTTCTTAAAAGCTTTAATAAATACTCAGCCTTATTACTGCCTTACTTTTTCAGGTTATCTTAGAGGATGTGGAAATGTTAGAGATAAAACCGGACATGTTCACTCACACGTCACAATACTTTGACATGATGTTGGATTTCTGTGAGAAGTTAATAAAAGAGAACAAAGCTTTCGTTGATGATACCCCCGCTGAGCAGATGAAGAATGAGAGAGATCAAAAAGTTGAAAGTAAAAATAGAAACAATTGTAAGTGTATAGAATAATTTTATTTAGCATCATATGGACAAATTATTTGCCTATTTACTTAATTTCAACTAAAAAAAATCTTAAAAGATTCCTTCGGTTATATTGAGAATAGATAAATAACCAAAATGCTTGTCACTTATAAACTACGGATAATATAAAAATTTTAAATAATTACTGAATTTCTTATTACTTACTTTGGATTTTATAAATTGGTCAAAGTAACTGAATAAAATATAGTCGTCGCTTATTATTTTAAAAACTATAGATTTGTAAGGCCCCTCGTACACCAGGTAACCTAAATCTTCAAAACACGGCGATTTTAATCGTTAAGCGACTTAGGTAACACAATATCATAGAAGTTAGTACATAGCGCGCGTCGTCGACATTTTTATCTGTCATCGCCAAAGCCGCTTGCAATCTTTTTCTCAAGATGTTCGGTAAAAAGTAGCTGCAATTTTTAAGATGGTGGAGCATATCTATACCGTTGACTTAAAATTGCTATTCCTGTACTAACACATTATACAATATTAGTTTCGAGGATTTACGCCTTGTGTACAAAGGGCCTTAATCCCTTAGCCTTAATTGTGTATCCCACAGCTGTTGAGAAGAATCTTGAGTTGTGGGAAGAGATGAAGAAGGGCAGTTCTGTAGGAGTCCAGTGTTGCGTGCGCGCGAAAATAGACATGCAATCGGCTAACGGTTGTATGCGAGATCCTACTATATACCGGTGCAAACCGGAAACACATCCACGTACCGGCAATCAATATAAGTATGTTTCGAATGTTATAAATATATTTAAAAAAAACTTTGTTCATTTATTCCGTTTTTGGAATGCTGTTTACTTTTACGTTCAACTTATGATATTTGAGTTTACACACTTTAAATTATCTGCATTGTACTAGGTGTTAGAAAATAAGAATAAAAAAAAATGTAATATACAAAGTGGGTTTAATATTCATATTATCAGCAAAATAATCTGTGCTTTTTAATTATACATGCAATTTCCGGACACCCTGTATATTATTTCTTTCCCTTTCAGAGTGTACCCAACTTATGACTTCGCGTGCCCCATAGTAGATTCAGTGGAGGGCGTGACCCACGTGCTGCGGACCATGGAGTACCATGACCGTGACCCTCAGTTTTACTGGTTCATTGACGCACTCGGTCTGAGGAAACCATACATATGGGAGTATAGTAGGTATGTATAATTGTTTATCCATGATTTTGACAGATGTATCACCGATAAATTTATCAAAAAAACTTTCACCATCATCAGTCACCATACGTCCATACGTCCACCGAGGAGCTCGGAGCCTACCCTAAGTTAAGGGTAATTAGGCCATAGTCAACCATGCTGACCAAGTGAGGGTCGGGTGACTTCACACATATCTTTGAATTTCTTCTCAGGTATGTGCAGGTTGAATCACGGTGTTTTCCTTCACCGTAAGAACGTCGAATAAATCTATATATGTAAATCGGAAATCCAAAAACACATTGGTACATGGCGGGATTCGAACCCAGGACCTGCAGATTGCAAGTCAAATGCTTGACCCCTGAGCCACCGAAGAAAAAGCTTTAGTTTGATTTTAATTGTATTGACTGCATTTTAATTATTTTTCAGATTGAGTATGACCAATACAGTTTTGTCCAAGAGAAAATTGACATGGTTTGTTGAACAAGGATTAGTTGATGGATGGTAAGATAAATAACATAGTTTTTTTTATCTTAGTGTTATTTAAAAAGAGAGAAAATGGATTTTGTACATCATTTTTTTTTTAATATTAAGAACTAGCTGTCGGCCGCGATTCCATCCGCGTGGATATATAAAAAAACTTAATATATAGATAAGTTAAATAAAAAGCAGCTCTTCAAGGCATAAATTCGAAAAAAAATGAATAAATTGTATCCTATGTTCGTCTCCTGGCTCTAAGTTACCTCCTCACCAATTTTCAGCAATATCGGTAAAGCCGTTCTCGAGTTATAAATAGTGTAACTAACACGACTTTCTTTTATATATATATATAGATAAATGATATGTATATTTGTTAGGGATGACCCACGTATGCCGACGGTGCGCGGTGTACTGCGGCGTGGTATGACAGTGGAGGGGCTGCGACAGTTCATCCGCGCGCAGGGCTCCAGCCGCTCTGTTGTATTCATGGAATGGGACAAGATTTGGGCCATCAATAAAAAGGTACCAACTACTGTCTCATTTACCCTAAATTTTTCTATTATTTCGATATTTCTTTAACTGTTTTCGACTATTTTCTTAAATCTTATTAGTCTTCTAAATGAAAAAACATCATGACTGTATGATGAATGTGGTCTTTGGTTTTGTTATAATAATTATGCAAAAATGTTCCAGGTCATCGACCCAATAGCACCTCGGTATACCGCTCTGGAAGCTAATCCTGTACCAGTGAATCTGAAAGGTGTGTCAGGACGGTCTCCATTAACTGTGCCGCTACATCCCAAGAACCCTGACGTGGGCACGAAGACCGTGTGGGTGACATCTCGTCTACTCATAGACCAAGCAGACGCCGCTGTGCTGAAGCAAGGAGAAAATGCTACCTTTATTAACTATGGAAATGTTAAGATTGATAAGATTCACAAGTAAGTGTGTCTGTAAAAGACTTACTGTTTGTTTCTGAGACCGAAATCTGTGTTTAAAACATGTCATCCCTGTCATTGTCTTTGACAAAACAGAGACGACAATATACAGGGATTTTCTCGAAAACCCACGATTAATTCACTGTAAAATATATAGATATTTAATTTTTTTTTTATAATTTTTTCTTTTAGGGGTGAAGACGGAAAAGTAACGAGTATTGATGCTACACCTAATTTGGAGAATAAAGACTTTAAGAAAACCTTAAAGTTGACTTGGATAGCTGATGATGAGCAGTCTTCAACTGTGGAGACTTACTGTGTGTTCTTTGACCATATCATATCGAAACCGGTGCTCGGGAAAGATGAAGACTTCAAGCAGTATATTGGACATCAAACCAGGGTATGTAACCAAATACATTAAAACCTGCTTAAAACATAGATTTAAACGAAATATTGTTTGTAGCAACTCTAGCTGAATGCCTAATAAACAATACAATGTTGGTTACAAAGACAATCAAGTATAAGGAAACAGTGTATTGATGTCTTTATAAAGGACTAGTTATGGCCCGCGTCTCCGTCCGCGCAGAATTTAAGAAAAAGATAATTAATAGCCTATGTGTTCCATACTATGTTCTATATCTGTGCCAAATTTCATCACAATCTGTTAGGCCGTTCCGGAGATACCATCTAACATCCATCAATCCATCATTGGAGAGTGATCTGTCATTTGATTCATATTCTTCCTTTTATAGGGATAGTTATCTAGTTTATTGATTATATTTCCTTTTTAGTGGGAAATGTTGATGTTGGGTGAACCGGAGCTGAGAAATGTGCGTGTTGGTGACATCATACAATTGCAACGTCGTGGCTTCTTCAGAGTAGACGTGGCTTCAGGACCGGTGTCATTCCACACTGGTCGCCCGGTGCCATTGGTCCTCTTCCATGTACCTGATGGTCATACCAAGGAGATGCCCGGACAGGTAAGTCTATTCATTCTAGTGACATTTGTATTCACATGTCTTGGTATTTTAAATAAAAATGTAAGGGAAAACAGTATTTTTAAAAGGAAGTTGATTTCCTGAAGAAGGTAATGTTCAATGTTTCCTTAAGGAAATATCGAAAAAGTTAATCGACATCACAGGGGACCGAAGAGCTGGCAGCTACCTCGGACAAAGAATTAGTATAGCTATTCAAGAGGGGAACGCTGCCAGTATCTTCAGGGCTTTGCCTAAAGGGACTCCTTTTAATAATATATTTTAGTAAATTATTCGTTTTTAATATTTTATTTAATATCATAGATTTAAGACTCTTCATTAGGTAATGTTTAATTATTTGTAGTCTCCAACTCCCAAGGGAACAGCATCCGTTCAGTCTTTTTATAGTTAAAATAAAACAAAATATAATAGAAAACTTTTATAATCAAAAACTTAACATAAAGAACTAACTTTGTTTCTTACAACACAATATATTTTATGGCTCTTAAAGTTTGAATTATTACGATAATCGTCTTTCTTGCAAAAACTTTAATCTTTCATATTAAAATTGCAAGAAAAACAATACTTTAATGTCTACGCTTACAAATGATTTAAAAATCAAAATCATACGAAACATCAAAACATGACTTCCTAAGTATGTAATGCTGAAATGTGAACATATTAAAATTAACTACGGGTGAGTTGCATCAACTAACTATAACTATAACCAGCGCCTTGACATCGGTTAAATCTGCGGTTGCGCAAAAATACTTTGCACCATTTTAACAATCGTCAAATTGACGTCATATTTAACTGTAACTATTACTCAAGTGAAGAAGGGCCTGTCCCCTCCGTTTTAATCAAATCAAAAATAGCCATACTCAAATGTAAAGACCGAAATATAAACAAAAATCATAAGCAAATTATTGATGCCTTCTCAGAGACAACAGGAACATGAAACTTAGGAACTAAAAAACTATAATATATTAAACTATTTACCGTGCATTTCTGAGACCAAATCACCCTTTAACAACTGTTTTTTCAAAGATATTGACAGTATCATTTAAACCGAGATTTTGGTCTCGTAAACCCACGATTAGACGTTTAACTCAATAAAGAAATATTTCATGGATTTCAATTTGTTTTTCTGAAGAAAAAATTATCAGCATAAACATATTCGATTGTTAATCGTTTTCTTGGATCTATTGTCAACATTTTTCCTAATAACCTAATCAATGATTGTAATTTAATATCTATATTTCTCTTTTCACGTCCAACAATATCTTCACGTGCATATTGTGCAGCGATTATTGCCGAGTAAATGTTATTATTTTTCACGAAATTATTTATCCTAACGTCAGGATCCTGTAAAAAATCAAAAATTTACAAAATTGCTAGTTTTTTAGTTTTGCAACTTGACATTTTTTTTCATATATCATCTGTACCACAGATAATATTTAAAGAAATTTGGGAATTAAAAACAAGTCCATACAAGCTTTACAATAATTAATTTACCTTGACATTTTAGTTGTTTTAAGTTGATATGTATATAAAATTAATTTTACCTGATTCAGACCCTTCTTGATAAATGTTGTTCCACAGAAATGTGCATTTTTAAATCTAGATTCCTTAATAATTTTCTCAGGTATATCACCTAAAACACTCATTTGTTGGAACAAAACTTCATTATCTGTTGTTCCCGTGAATAGCATAGTATTTGTTGCCATTTCATAAATCACCAACGCTGTAGACCAAATGTCGACTGGAAAGCCATAAGAATAACCTAATATTTTCTCGGGTGATGCATAATTTATAGTTCCAATATTAGTTTTCAGATTATCTGAATAAATATATATAATTGCTTCATCAAAGCCGCATAATGTAAGCTTCTGGGCTTTATTGTCTAGAAGTATATGACTTGGTTTTATATCTGAAACAATATTTTTAATACTATGAATGTAACATTAAAACGTCAGTTTCCATTGCCGAAACTGCCATACAAATATATATATTGTTATCTCTATTTTTACAAAGAAAATGAGAGGGACAACATAATTATTTTAAATGAATATTTTGTCACTTATAATAATAATAATCACAATTTAATACAATATCAAGCTTAAAACGCTTTGATAGATGCAAAGAAATTGTTAAAAAAATGCCCAGTTTACATTATTCCAATCCAGCAATGTTAATTAGTGTTTCAATAGCTGGACTGGAATAATGTAAACTGAACACAAAGTTACCATGGTGAACTATATTTTTGCTTCTTAATACAGTAACGGCTTCAACTAATTGTTTAGCTAAAAATTGTATTTCTTCTATGCGAAACTTTTTGTCAGTCAAAACTTGTTCAAGGTTAATCGGATAGTAATTGGTCATATGACAAATGTGCTTATCTATTTTAAAACTGTGCAACAAATGTATGCAGTGTAAATTTTCTTCGGGAATATCTTTTTTTAATTCCAATAGAATGTTGTCTTTCTTCTTTCCTTTTAAATTTGTAGCTGGATTACTGTAAAATTTAAGTTGCTTTAATGTCGAATTTTAATAAAAAAAATATTCAAAGGCATTCAAAGGTTACACTTACTCTAGTATTTTCACAGCATAATAATGTCCAGATGTATCAATACATTTAAATATTTTTGAAAACTTTCCATAATATGTCACAGCGAGTACAGAATATTTTTCTTTCAAAGTATCGTACATCTTCATTTCTAAGTTACGAGCTAAGTCTATATCAGATTTTGTTACAAACTTATTTAATATACCTAAACTATTGTTATGTTTCTTATTTATATTATGCCCTGTATCTAGAGATTTAACTTCTTTCGAACAAACCTCCTTTTTAATTTCTTGTAAATCTTTTTTGGAGTCTGTACTAATTATTTTACTTTCAGTTTTTTTAGCAATAATACTACAATCTATTTCACGATTATCATTTTTTCCTCTATTATTGTTTGTTGTTATATTTGCTTGTGATTTTTCCTTTTCAATATTTGCTTTTTTGGTTTCTTCAGTCTTATTATCAACCCTAAAAAAAGAACCGAGTTGAAATATTTTTTTTCTCTCTAATAACAGTTTATAGTTCAATTTAAAAATGAAATCTTACCTTGTCGTTTGCTTTGTACTCTCTTTGTTATTTGTATTCGATGTTTTTCGTTTCTTCGAATTTTCGGTTATCTCTTCTTCAATATTAATATTAGTTTTAATAATAGGATTATTTTGTTCCTTACTATTGAATAAACTTTCTACCACTTCGTCTACGTCAAAATCGTCGAGAAAACTTAAATCTCCATCAACATTTGTATTAGTTGATGTTTGATTCTTTTTGCTGTTCAAATTATTGTATGTAATATTAATAGTTATTTTAATTTTTTTGGGCTGTTCATTTTTATGTTTTGCTACCTTTGTGGCGTATTTTCGATTTACTTGTACTCTATTTTTTTTAGTTGCTTCTTTAAATTGTTTAGGTCTAGTTTCCTCTTTGGTTACTTTAATTTTGTGTTGAAATGTATTTTTACCTTTATTTCTATCTGTATTCTCTACATTTTTAGTAGTTATTTTGTTATCTTCACTATATGTCAATTTTGGTAGTTGCTCATTTGAACAATTCATTTTTTTGTTAAATGTAGTCATATTACTATCAAAGTTATTGTTTAGTTCAGTTTTAATTGTAGATGGTAGAAGGCAGTTATTGAAATTATTGTTTTTGGAATTTTGTTTTTCACAGTTTACATTTATTTTTTTGGAACCATTACTATTTATTTTTCCTCCTGAAGTAACCACAGATAATACATTTTCTGTCTGGCTATTATCTGTTTCGTAGTTATCTTCAAGTTTAATTTGAGCAGTAATGTTTTCTTCCGTCAAAATTGTATTGGATTTATTAGGAATTTTACATAATGCAGTATTTTTAATGCAGATTTCACTTTTAATTGGTTTGTTTAAATTATCTTCATTTTCTTTTTTGATACGACTGGGATCCATCTGTTGATAGTAATTAATTAAATTAGGATGGTTAAATATTCATAATACCGAGACTTATCTAAACTTAATTTGCATTAAGAAATTGTCTTAATTATGATTTACTTAAACTTTAGAGCAATTGTTAACAACAAAATAAAGATGAATCCTACTAGTTTACTTTTTTACATACTAATGATTTTACTTTAATAGTTTTTCAAACTAATTAGTGATTAGAAATTTGTAATAATTACAGAAATGCATTAATATCTAAAAAGTTTTTTTTAGTCGAATATTTTCTCTACTCCAACACAATTAGACATTATGGGGTACCTGTCTAAAAGTTTTTTGCATTTGATTATCTTGTAAATTTCGTAAATTTGTGTCCGGTTTTTTACTCTGCATTTTAATTTTCTTCGCAATTGGTGAATAGAGTAAAGACTTGTTAGGATCAATAACAATATTAGAACTTTGATATGTTGAAAAATATCTCTTTGAGGTCATTGCCTACGTGAACAAGAAAACTTAATTTTACTTAAGTGAAAACAATTTTAACATGAGTTATCCGTGTCCATTAGGTAATTTTAAACGATATAACAAAAAATTTATAACCAGTCAAAGATCGTGTAAAAACTTACCACTCTTTTCTTCTTGATAGTTCAAATATTTGTTTACTTTTGAATAAATATCATGAAAATTAAATCCAAACCGCAAGATTCAAATCTCAATGTGTTTATTAAATTGACAGATGACACCTGACAGTTGTGTTGACGCGCGTAAACAAAGTTAAAAATATCAGAGCAAGAAGTTCGTGCTGTTATCTCTATGATGATAACTTTAAAAAAATATTTTTAAATTCGATATTATTTACATTGTATATTTATTGTTAAATATTTCTACGTAGTATCTTATTAATACATAGCAATTGAAAAGTTTTATAGGGATGTTTTTTAATTAGAAGTTTGTTGTGAAGTGTTTGTTGTTTGTGAAGTTTACATAATTAAGGATAAACATACGTCAATGCTTTTAATTATTTGAGTATCCCACGGTGTTAATGATGTCTTTATATTCCTGTTTAATTTTCGCATCATGTGAACATCAATTTTCGCCCATACATGGCTCCATTTTCATTTTCTGCAAGAAAATGTAAGTAACGTAAAAGTAGACGTACGTTTTTTCACTACTACAAAAATACACAATACTTTTTACAAAAAAAATCTAATGAATGAGTTTACATAGGTCTTTTTTAACGTTCACAAAAAAATGCCGTTCAAATATTTCAACGTACGTTGCGTTTTCTTCTAATAGTAAATAAAGTATTCTTAACACCGTATATTACAGTTAACACATACCCCGATTGTGCAATCCGTGTACTAAAAATAATTCGCACTGTTGTTATACTTTTTAATAGAGGGTAGTTAAAAATATATACTAACTTCTTACTTCATATATTCGTAGATCTTTAGGAACTTCTGTGGGGTAGGTTACAAACTGGGGTGACTATTTAAACGTAGTTAAACTACTTCCTTATAGATTTTGTGGCAGTAAAGGTAAACTCTTGTTACGGATTTCGACCACTGATGATTGTATGATCATTTTTATGGCTTTACTGTGGACATCGTTTGCCGGACAAATTGTGAAAAAAACATATTATTGAGTACACTATATCCAAAAATTGGCTATAAAAATAGTTTTATTATGGTTTAAATCCTAGCAGATTAACCATACGTAACTTTTTATAATGAATACTATGTTATCAATGGTCTTTTAGTTTACATTGACGGTTCCGCTAAAGATTTTGATAAGCTCAGTGCTACAAATGAGTCATTGTATATCGAATTGGAGATACATGTGTTGAACTGAACTGTATAAAAAAGTGAAAGGCTCGATAGTACGACTTCCACGTAGTAACGAATGATCAAGGCATGAGTAGTAAGAAAGCAGCTGTGAATAAGTAACGTGTTTTTTGTGTACGTATGTTTTTTAAAATATTAGTTTGGTGACTTATTTTTTTTTTAATTCACTTATTGGACATTTTATCTGGCGTGTATTAGATTTTTTTATATAAATTATTTTTTCTTTTTGTCATATATCAATGTAAAGTATTATAAATAAAACGTCTACACTTTACGTTAATCCAGTGTTTGCCCCGACTAGTTTCAAGTCCTCTGCGGTTTCTTTTTCAGCCTGTCGTAATTGGCTGTTTAGTCGTTAGTAATTTTTGAAATGGCTCACGAATGTTTAAACAATTTAATAATATTAAGATGTGGTTGTGTATTGTGATAAGATTGTGGTGGATTATTTATAACGAAATAACTTAATGGACCACATCCATATAATGAACATTTCCTCGTTTTTTTTTATCCAATTACAAAAGGGAGGTGTTTGTCATTAACCCTTTACTTAAATGAACGATATCAAAATTGCAAAATACATTTTCATAAACCATTTTTAAGGTTCCGTACCTCGAAAGGAAAAAAACGGAACCTTTATAGCAGTCTTTTCCAAAGTGAGCGATAAGGCCCCCTTGTGGGCGCTGCAGGTCTCAAGTTGCGGGTTATAGTAAAAGTTTCGTTTAGAATTCTTCGTTAATATACATAGGTCACAATAATTAATTAATTTATAATAATTTGAAGTTATAGTGGTTTTTAAAAATGTGAAAATATGGGGCGATAAAAAAATATTTATTCTCAAAGTGGGCAGTAGACAAAATATGTTTGGGAACCACTGCCTTATAAGATCACTTTGTTGTCCGTCCGTCTGTCTGTCAAGACCCTTTTTCTCAAAAACGCGTAAAGGTATCAAGCTGGCATTTATATCAAATACTCAGGTCTGCGGTCCCTTGGTGCTGTGAAAAAATAAAACTTCTAAACCAACGCAATCAAAAGACTACGTAACGCAAACAAATTTGCGATATAAACGGTCGTACCGTTTATATCGCAAATTTACGCAAATTATTTTCAGAAATTTTAATTAGATATTCTTACAGCCGAAGTCAATCCAAGCGACTCCTGTCAAGCAAGCCGCGACGAAAGCGGACGCGGCTGGCGACGCCTCCAAGTTGAACGAAGAGATTACTAAACAAGGAGAATTAGTGCGATCCCTTAAAGCTGCCAAGTCAGACAAGGCGCAGGTTGACCAAGCGGTTAAAATCCTACTGGACTTGAAAGCCAAGTACAAGACAGCAACTGGACAGGTAAATTTGCAATGCTTCGTACCATATTAAATATGTATTAGAAAGACAAAGACAAAGACTCGGTCAATCAACTTCATTGCCTAACCGTTGGCTTCCGACACCGAAATCTCTGTATAAAACATATCGTTATCCCGGTCATTATCTTGGATAAAACAGATAACGATATGTTTTAAACGGGGATTTTATTGTCAGAAACCCACGGTAAATTAGATAAACTAATGCACGTCAAAATTCATACATGAAGGATAATTTTAATTGTTAATTGACTTTTTTAATTTATATTTTTAAGAGAAAGTAAAATAATGGTAGCTTGTATAGAAAAAGTAATTTACCAGAGATATTCTGGGATTTGCGAGTTATAGTGTAAAAGTTGTCTATGGTTTCGTTTGGTATTCATTGTGCCATATTAATTATTTTTCATTAGGATTGGAAGCCCGGCACCACTCCAGTACAAGCAGCACCAGCATCCGGCGACGCATCATCTCTAAGCGAGCAGATCACGCAACAAGGCGATCTCGTGCGCTCCCTTAAAACTGCCAAAGCCGACAAACAGAAAGTCGACGAGGCTGTCAAAGTTTTACTGCAACTTAAAGCGCAGTATAAAGCTGCTACTGGACAAGTAAGAATATTTATCCTTACTTTTAATATTATAAATGCATAAAGTATGTCTGTCTGCCTGTCTATATGACGTTTTCACGCCAAAACAACTAAACGGATTTAAATGAAATGAGATACACAGACAGTCTAGAGCCTGAGAAAAGACATAGGCTACTTTTTAATAGGGAAAAGGGTTTGTAAGTTGTTAAAAGGAGGGATAAAATGTTGTAACAGAAAACAAGAAAATATGAGAAAAAGTTCTAGCAGTGCTGATAGTAAAATAGTGGTATTATATAATATTTTATTTTTAATTCTAAACTAAATATATTATCCACTTATTTCGATAGGAATTTATAAAAGATCAAGTCCAATTTTGTTCATTCTCAGGAGTGGAAGCCAGGCGCAGCAGCACCGGTTACCACGTCACCAGCCAGTGATACCACAGCTTTGAACCAAGAGATCACACAACAAGGCGATGTCGTCAGATCACTGAAAGCCAGCAAAGCTGACAAGAGTAAAGTAGACGAAGCGGTCAAGCATCTGTTGGAACTCAAGTCAAAGTACAAAGCGGCTACCGGAGAAGTGAGTATTCCAATTTTCAAGCAATAGGTTATATAACTTAAGTAATCCTAGTAGCTGTTAAGTATAAATAACTTAATAAGTAGCCTATGTTCTACATGTATGCCATATTTCAGCGACATCCGTGCAGTTGTTCTGGAGATACTTTCTAACATACATACATTCAAACATTCGCATTTATAATATTAGTAAGATATACTAACATACACACTTGTGTAAGTTATGTTAACTTAAATATTGAACATTTATCTGAATGAATAATAATCGTGGTAATAAATATTCAACGAAACAATAACTCGCACCTGAACAAATAATACTTTGTGTCTGTACAAATTTCATTAAAGCAACAATGTCAAGGTATCTTAAAAATATTATAATACACAAATGTAATATTAGTCAATCAAATAAAATTATATTAAACTGATATATAAACACGGCTAAACACTCACGTATATTCGTCCGGTGGCGGCACCGACTAGTTTCGAGCCCATCGGGGGCCCTTCATCAGGAGTGGGACTGGTATTATTTCGCGGACGCGGCTCCCAGCGGTTTAGCCGTTTTTATATAAGTTTATTATAATGTCTCACGAAAGTTTGAATAATTTAAAATGATATTGAAAAAAATATAGTGAATCTAGTCAAACCTAAATTAGCGAGAACTATATAAGCAAAAAAACTCTCTTTGAACGAGAGTTATAGTCCGGTCTCGACGGACGACATTTATAAGCGAGAAACTCGTGCTAGTGAGAAAAATATTGCGATCCCTGGATATCTCGCTTATCCAGTTACACTGTACTTACGATTTCAATGTAAAGTTTCTATTTTTATTACCAATTGATTTCAATTTATGTATTACTATCAGGATTGGAAACCAGCAGCTCAGAACAAACAGATCCCTGCGCCTGCGCCTGCGCAGAATAACTCACAGGCGGATTCTGTATCCGCTGCCATTACAGCGCAGGGTGACAAGATACGAACACTCAAAGCGGCTAAGGCCGAGAAGACAGTCATTGACGTAGAGGTAAAATACTTTTTATATTACAAGATGACAAACGGGCAAACGGTCATTTGATTTCGCCGAAATAGCGAAACGACCGCCGAGGAGACGAGGATGTCCCCTTCTTTGTCAAATCCATTTCTTATTTTTTGTATTTGATTCTTAGCGCGAAGGCTACTAATTTTTTTTTAAATATTAGAAATTGTATATAATACGCTTTGCTATCTTTTTTAAGTCTCATGGCTACTTTACAGTGAATTCTTTACTATTATTTTTAACCATTTTTCTTATAGGTTAAGAATTTGTTGAACCTAAAAGCGCAGTACAAGGCAATTACTGGCAAAGATTGGACACCGAGCGCGGCCGCTCCGCAACAAGATACCAAGAAAACTGATAATAAAAAGGTATAAACACGTATCTTATTATTTTGTCATAAAAAAGAAAATCTTAATGTACGTAATATTTACTAAAGTAACAAAATTAAATAAAAAAAAATTAAGTGTCAAAAAAAACATATTATAAGTCTACAATAAAGTGACCACAACTCTGAGTGCAGTAAATTAATGAAACCACAAATGGCAATGAAATCTGCAATTGCTTGATATTTATTTTATATTTCTTAGCAAACAACCACTTCGGCCAACGGAGACATGGATAAGGCAGCTATTTTGTCAGCGGACATCGCACGTCAGGGTGACCGCGTTAGAGAATTAAAAACTAACAAAGCTGATAAGGTAAATTATATACGTTTGGGTTTAAACAAACTTATTAACAATTCGTTTGTATGTAATAACTACAATACTTAGATAGTTAAAAAACTTCTAGCTTTTAGCCTATGTGTTCTTCCAGACTATGTTCTATATGTATACCAAATTTCATAGATTCAGTCGTTCTGGAGATACCTTAAAACATCAATCCATACATTTAAAAATTCATAATATTACTATATTTTAATATATTTAACTTACATTGTGTTTTCAGGCTACAATCGATGCAGAAGTAAAGAAGCTTCTAGAACTAAAAGCGCAGTACCAGACAGAGACCGGGTCCGCTTACGTAGCACCAACCCAGCCGAGAGAGACCAAGCCCAAAGAGAAGAAGCCAAAAGAAGAGAAGAAAGATAAACCTAAAGAAGAGAAAAAGGATAAACCTAAAGAAGTAAAGAAAGAACCTAAAACGAAGGAACCGGTAAGTTAAATTTATTTACCGCAGGTTCTTCTACTTTTTTGGAATGTTTTGTTGCAAAATATTACCTTTGCAAATATAATAATAATAAAAATATAGAAAAGGAAATAAAATGTTCATTTAGGTTGCTGCTTCTTTGCCACATTATAATAAAAAAAAAAAAAAAAAACGACTGTCGATACACATTTTGACACTTTTTTATATCAATAGAATATTTCTAGTAGCAATATTAATATTAGTGTTAGTGTCAATATTCTGAAAACGACGAAAAGGTAGTTAAAGTGTAGTTATTTCCAGTCGCCAAAACCTACAAAGGAAGAGTCATCTAGCGGAGTTAAGAAGATAACTCGATTGGGGCTAGAAGCGAGCAAGGAGACAGATTTACCCGAATGGTATTCACAAGTTATTACGAAATGTAAGTAATACGTTTTTATATAGAGTTCTGATATACCATTGATAACATTCAAAACAATAAACAATATATATATATATATATATAGTTTTTTTAATTTGCTATGTCCCTGTAATTTAAATGAACTTACATGTATTATTTTCCATTTTGCTTGCCCTTTAACGCTTATAGCCTGATATTAATTAGTCTATACTTTCTTCTCCAGAAATAATTTTTCGAACATAATATATAATTCATGAGGTTTTAGCCATCAAACGCTTTGGCTTTATTGTATTCAATTAAAAGGCAAAGACGTTTCGGCTTGCTTTAAATGAGACTATACAGTCTCATTTAGAAAAAAATATATACATATTTTTTTTATATTTTTATTCATTAAAATTAAAAGCAACCATATGATATATGTATACCTTTATGGCTTTTTGTGTCATGTTTGTTATGCAACTGACAGTTGCAAAAGGGTTAATATAAATATGTATTACAGCGGAGATGATAGATTACTACGACATATCAGGATGTTACATCCTCAGACCCTGGTCCTACAGCATATGGGAACACATCAGGAACTACTTGAGTAAGGAGCTCAAGAAACTCGGCATCAAGGACGGATACTTCCCGATATTCGTATCTAAGGTGGGGGCGCAAACATATAGTTTTTTTATTTAACTAAGCTAAATATAAAATGGCATTATCCTTATTCCAATATTACGTCGTATTTCGGACCGTTTACAATGGGTTTCAGAGACTAAAATCTCTGTTAACACCTGTTTTTATCTTTGCTTTGTCAAAGATAATGATAGAGGTGACAATATGTGTTAAACAGATATTTTTGATCTCATAAACCAACGGTTAATAGTTTCAGCTATCTAGAATCCTAGATCTATCTACCCTGCTGCAAGCTTAGATAAGTACGTATTGAAAATAATCTTTAAAATGTCATGGCATAAAAAATGTAGTAGCATTGAAAGTGTTAACTTTTTTTTTTAATCTGTGTTCAGTCAGCGCTGGAGCGTGAGAAGGCGCACATAGCTGACTTCGCGCCCGAGGTGGCGTGGGTGACGCACTCGGGCGGGTCCGAGCTGGCTGAGCACATCGCGGTGCGGCCCACCTCCGAGACCGCCATGTACCCGGCCTACGCGCGCTGGATACAGAGCCACCGCGACCTGCCCTACAGGCTCAACCAGTGGAATAACGTCGTCGTGAGTAATGTTTTATGACACAGACGTTTCGAAAGTTAATTCTGAAGTGTATTCGGAAGTAAGTTCTGAAGTGTATTCGGAAGTTAGTTCTGAAGTGTGTTCGGAAGTTAGTTTATGGCTATCGTCTACAACCTTCTGCCCGATCACGTCTCAGCTACCAGACTTACGTCATTTCAAAATAGATTAAAATCATGGCTTATCTAGAAAGTTCTATATAGTTATGAAGAATCTTTTGATTAATTTTTTTTATAATTATTTTTTTAATGATAATCACAATAACTAATTATTATATTATTACAAGATCTATTGTTAAAATTTTTACTTTTATTAACTATAATTTATACATTTATTGCAACTTCTTAATTAGATGGGTTGTTAAAGATTATCGTGGGTGGAGAAAAGCGTGTGCTATATGCTAAAGGATATGCGTATCGTGTAATATAAATTTTACTCGTTATTATCTAGAGATGGGAATTCAAACAGCCGCAACCATTCCTTCGTACCCGCGAGTTTCTCTGGCAAGAAGGACACACCGCCTTCCGCACTATAGAAGAGGCGGATGAAGAAGTGTTACAAATATTAGGTTAGTTACATATATTTTCTTATATATATATAAATCTATTGCTGTTCGTTAGTCTCGCTAAAACTCGAAAAGAGCTGAACCGATTTATCTTATCTTGGTCTTGAAATGTTTGTCTTGGTCTAAGTAAGGTTTACAATTACGTGGGACTAATTAATATTTTTTTAATTCCACGTGGACGGAGTCGTTGGCGACAGCTAGTGTACAATAAAATCAATGTCTGTGCTATATTTTATAACATTTACTATAATATTTTTTTTGTTGCAGAGCTATACGCTTACATCTACGAGGAGTTGCTGGCTATCCCCGTGATAAAAGGCAGGAAGACAGAGAAAGAGAAGTTTGCGGGCGCTGACTACACCACAACTGTAGAGGCATACGTACCCGCCAGCGGACGTGGTATACAGGTAAACTTTACTAGACATACAATCTGTCGCCTGCGAGTCCGTCTGCATGGGATTAAAAATAACTAAGTAGTCTATGTGTTCTTCCAGACTATGTTCTACATCTATGTCAAATTTCAGCTAGATCTATGCAGTGGTTCTGGAGAACATCTAACAAACATCCATCCAACTATTTAAATATTTGCAATTATAAAAGTCAATTTCTTGAAATAAATTTTAACTTTGACATAATATTGTTTTAATGCAAAACTTATAATAAAAAATAGTTCTATATTTATTTTGTTTTTGTGCAGCAATGATTTTGGTGATTATAGTGTTGTTAAGAATATAAGTGTTCTAAATATTCAGAGATATGTACCATTTGCTTGAAACTGTAATTTGTTGGCCAGGGTGCGACTAGCCACCATCTCGGTCAGAACTTCTCCAAGATGTTCGAGATCGTGTACGACGATCCCGACACGCAGGAGAAGAAATACGTCTACCAAAACTCGTGGGGCATCACCACTAGAACTATTGGTAATATTAACAATTAATTTACATAAGTAAACAAAAAAAATTGTTCCCTATTATGATTCTTTAGGGTTAAAATATTTCTAACTTTTAAATTTATCCAGAACAGAACTAATTAAAAAATAAAGTATTAATTATAAATATTTAATCACAGGGTAATTTTTATTTAAAAAAAACTTTTCGATCAAAAAAAATTGTCAAAATCAAAGCACCAGGGGCGGAGTTACGTAACACATAAATAAAAAGAATATGCAGGCGAATTAATAACCTCCTTTTTGAAGTCGGATAATAAATTACATTTTTACTCTACTAATTCCAGTTCATTGGGTAATCTAATAGAAAAATTCTTCATCAGGTGTAATGATATTAGTGCATGGAGATGACAGGGGCTTAGTCCTACCTCCCCGGGTCGCTGATGTTCAAGCTATAGTTGTGCCTTGCGGTATCACCGCCTCCAGCACTCCTGAAGAACGTAAAGCATTGATGGATTCCTGCAAGCAACTGGTTGATGACCTCGTCAAAGGTGGGATCAGAGCTGAAGGGGATTATAGAGACAACTATTCACCTGGTTGGAAGTTCAATCATTGGGAGTTGAAGGTAAAAGGATACATCCACAATGTACAATTCATATGTGATTCTTATGCAAGAATTTCTAAAATGATCTTTTTGTTGGCATTCACATGATCATCATCAGTTCACTATATGTCCCCACTGAGGGGCTCGGAGCCTACCCTAACTTAAGGTTGATTAGACCATAGTCAAACACGCTGGCCAAGTGCGGGTTGGTTGACTTCACACATATCTTGGAATTTCTTCTCAGATATGTGCAGGTTGCATCACGATGTTTTCCTTCACCGTAAGAACGTCGGATAAATGTACATATGTAAATCGGAAATCGAAAAACACATTGGTAGTTGGTGGGATTGGAACCCAGGACCTGCAGATTGCAAGTCAAGTGCTTGACCCCTGAGCCACCGATGCTCTAGCTCTAGCATTCACATCATTAAATTGATATTTTTTTATGAATTCTATACCATTGATATTTTTATAATAATTTTAAAACTTTACTAGGGTGTACCAATCCGTGTTGAGCTGGGTCCCAAAGATATGTCTCGCGGTGAAGTGGTAGCCGTGAGAAGGGTCAATGGTGACAAGCGCACCATAAAACGTGAAGCAGTGGCCACCGAATTGTCTGCACTACTTGAGCAAACTCATACAGAGATGTTTGAAAAGTAAGTATCGTATGGAGTAGGAACAGAGTGGATGTAGATTAATTATTATAACTAGCTGTCACCCACGACGATTCGCGCGGAATAAAAAAAAACTTAATTGATAGCCTATGTACTCTTCCAGACTATGTTCTACATAATTGCCAAATTTCTGCGAGATCCATGCAGCTTTTCTGGAGATATCTTCTAACAAACATCCATCCATCCATCCAAACATATGTTTGTTTATTAGTAAGATTTATGTCTTTTAAAATTGTCAGAGTACACTTGACTTGACTACCAAATAGTAGTGTGTTGCCTCTTGCTTTCTGTGCCTTAATTTTTATTTTCTCACTAGATGATGATGACTTGATACTTTATATAATAGATTTAATGAAATAAAAATGAATTAATGAATTAGTTAATATTTTTTTCCTAGGGCAACAAAAGAAAGGGACGCACGGTTGTCTCTTGTGAATAAATGGGAAGATTTTGTGGCAGCTTTGGAACAGAAGCACATTTTGCTGGCACCGTTCTGTGGAGACATACCGTGTGAGGATCGGATCAAGGGAGACAGCGCAAAGACAGATGATGACCCCACAGCAGAAGTGAAGGGTCCAGCAATGGGAGCCAAATCACTCTGTATACCATTCAAGCAACCCAGAGACCTTACAAAAGAAGACCGTTGCATTCATCCTGCGTGCAACAACAAGCCCAAGTTTATAACATTGTTCGGACGAAGCTATTAAACTAAATATTTTAATAGGCTTTTGTATGAATTTTTAAATAAATTATTAATCAATTATTATTTTTATATTTTATTGACAAATATATGTTTTTTTTCAACACCAACTTTAGGGAGGTTAATATGAAATTTGTTATATTTTTTCATATTTCTTCAATTGATCTTCTAAAAACTGTATTCTTGATTTTTTTGTATTTAAAATTGATACAAATTTTCCATATAAACAATCTTCCATTGCTATTTTCATTTCTGCAAACTTTGACAATTCTTCTTTCAATCCATCAATTTCCAGTGCCATTTCTTTTAACCTTAGATCACATCTCTCTATATCTTTTTTCTGTAAAGTATTTTCATTTATAAGACAGTCGATTAATGCATTTTTACTTTCAGTAACAGCATCCTTATTTAAAATAACATATCCATGAACTAATTTAGCAGATGCACCTTTAAAATTTATTTTCCATTTAAATGTAGCAGTGTTTTCGGATACTTTAAAATCATAAACATATTTGTCATTGGGACATGATAAACAAATTTTAATGTGTCTGTAATAGTCCTCTTCATTTTCTAAAACAACATTTCTACATTTTTCGGCCAATTCATTAGAAAAAGAACCAGACCAAGTATTAGTATCATCATATATTTTTATTTGAAATACATTGGTTTCAGTATTTAACCAATTAATTTTCGCATAAATGAATACTTCATCAAAGGTAAATTTTGACACAGTCGTATCCTCTTTGGCCATATTCTTTATAGACGATGGAAACTACAAATTAAGTTTAATGTGCTGCATATATTTCAATTATTCTACTTTTTCCTCAATTACTGTTATACAATAAACTTGGACAACAATTAAATAATGGTTTTCGAAAACTCTACATTCACCATAGAACAACTGTGCACGTAAATAATTATAATAAATAATACAATAAAAGTAATAAAATTTAAAAGTTATGAAATAACAATAACATGTTCAACAATAACTTTCTCGGTCACCCGTTGTGACATTGACATTTAAACATTTGTCAAATTATAAATATCAATTTTTGTACTTTGTAGAATGATTATTCATTGTTATATTGCCCAAGTGGCTAACCGTGGGTTTCTGAGTTCAAAATAACTGTTTAAAAGATGTCGTATCTCTGCGGTATCAAAGATAATGACAGGAATGACGATATGTTTTATACAAAGATTATGGTCTCAAAAACCCAGGATAATTCAATTATATTTTTTATACGTTTCAATTGGAATAAAAAAAATGTTTTTACTTTTTATATGCTTAGTTTACTTCGGTCAAATTTTCTTGATTGCTGACTACGCTCTCTCCTGTACCTTCACTGGGTGTATCTGGTTCAAGCATATTTATCTTTGATTTCTTTAAGTAAATCAAATTTAAGAATTTTTGGCATACATAGTTTTCCATTTTTTCTTTCAAATTTATAAATTCCTCTGTGTCTGCTAAATGTTCTAAATAATCAAGTTTTATAACTTTTAATTTTGAATTAAGTGTTGTAACTTTATCTTTCAGGCTCTTGTTAATTTTTAATAACACTTCGATTAAATTTGTTTCTGAACAGGTTGTTTTCTCTTCCAAATCTAATGGTAGAAATCCCTCTATAATAATAGAAAAATCCAGTTTCTTTTTCCAGTAAAAAAAACCGTTTTTAAATTCATACCTATAGTCTGCTCTCTGTTCAGTTAAACATTGCTTTACTCTTGCATAATAAACGTCCTCTTTTAGTTGTAAGTTTTTACTAAAGCTTTTTAGTCGATCCGCACAAAATTTTCCTCTCCAAAAATTTCCCCTGGCTTTTAAATAAATGTCAAAAGAATTTACCAACCAATAAATAAGGAGATAGCAAACTCCATTTTGTGTTAATATTTTGGACACTGTAACAGTTTCACCGAAATCCATTTATTGTAATTATTTTCGATTTTTTTTAGGTTATTATAAAAATACAATACATCTTGTTAATTTTTGTCCATAAGTCAAAAATGATGTTTGAAGTTATTGACATCAAATATTTTTTTTATAATAAAATCTCTACAAAAGCAAAATACAACATGAATTTCATACTCAAATCCAAAACAGTGTCCGAATGACTTTTTACTTCTTTTACATTTTTGTACTTATTTATTCTTTGTAATTCAGTTGTCATTTTCATGTCATGTGTTGTTGGTTAAGTATTTATCTTAAAGAATATACATTATTGTGAACAATTGCAATTTTTTAATAAAGTGTTCTAGTACTGTATAAAACATTTGATATTATAGTTACCTAAATAAACCAAGAAAACAAAATGTCGTCGGACATGGAAGAAAACGCTTTGCAAGAAAATGATTCGGAAAGGGTATGTTGTTCAAAAACATTATCACAAAATTAATCATTACTATTAACAGTATGTTTTCATTTCTATATTCTGTTAAATTTCTAGATCGCAATTAAAAATGAGTTATCGTCTTTATCCTTTGAGGATCTTCAAAAACTCAAAGAAAGAATCGGTGCGAAAGTATATAAAGAAGTAGTTTTCGGCAAAAAGAATAACCCGGACACAGGGCCAAAAGTAAAAGTATTCAAAAGGGAAAACAAAAATAGACCAAGAGAAATGAGTTCAAAACGACCAGTACGAATGCTTCGCGAAACAGGAAAGGTGAAGAAACAAGAGATTCGGGATCCTAGGTATAGTATTTGAAAAAAAGTAATATATATTTAATATTTGTTATTTTGGACAAAATCACTAATTGCCTTTTATTGCTTTTAGATTCGATCCCTTGTGTGGTGAGTTTGACAAAAAAGAATTTGCAGAAAACTACAATTTCCTCTCAGATATGCGATATGAAGACATTAAGAAAATAAGGGCTGAGCTAAAGCAGACAACAGACCCGGAAAAAGTCCTGAAGCTCAAACGTTTACTGCAAAGCTTGAATGAACAGCATAAAGCTAGCAGAAAGGCTAGAGTAGAAAGAGAAAAAATAGAAAAACAGAAGAAGCATGTAGAAAAAGTATTCATGGAAGGCAAACAGCCTTATTTTAAAAATAAATGTAAGTGTATAGTACCCTCTTGTCTGTCGTTTGTGCTATTCATAGTTTCAATCATAACTGTTATATATTGAGAGAAATTTTACTTACATAACTTACTTCTACGATTGTTACATTGAATCTTCTCTGTCATAACATTTGTATTACCACAATGTGGCAATAATGATCCACTCATTACACTCATCGTTTATGAAAAAATAGACATGAATGTTCTTAAACAGTTGTTTACAAGTGTCTTTTTATTTAATATGCATATTTACTCATTCCAGCTGAACTTCGTGTTGAGACATTGGTGAATCAATATGAAGCACTAAAGAAGGAGGGCACTGGACGCATTCAACGGCATCTCAAACGTAGACAGCAAAAGATAAAGAAGCGTTCAACTAACGCTCCAGTAGGAGAAAGTTGATGATTTGATAAAATTTTATACCAAAAATGCTGGCTTTTTAATATAGGAACTTTTTAAATTTAGTTCTTCTATTCCATACTGTTTTACTGTACTATTGACCTATTATCTAGGGATGGAACCTTGAAATAGGATTTTGGCAACACAAAAAAAAGTTTGATTAATTTCAGCACATTTCTTAGAAACAACATTAAATGAAATTGTAACTTAGTTGATATAGAATAAAAATTGTTATAATTTTAAAACAAAGCAAAAAGATATAAAAAAAATCGTGTGAGTTTATTGCAGACAGTTATTAGAGGATGAATTAATTTCCAGTACAATTAATAGTCCAGGGTGCCTCCACATAGTAACTGTGAATGGTCACAACTCCCGGGTTGTCAGCTAAGTTGTAAAGACATTGTGGACCTCTGGGAACAATAGCCTGGAACAAGAATATTGCTATCAAATCTCCTACATTATTATAAGTTGCCAGTGTTAAAATTTGCAAAGAATTAAATTTATTTTCTGTATGGAATATTTATAACAATGAACGTGATGGCAACTAATTGATCAATCAACTTTTTTTAATCTGTGCCTCAGTACTTATATACGTTTAAAAATGCATTCTAAAAACCCGCCGTCGTGGGTTCGAATCCCATTCGACTATTTTAAACCATGTCTAAGCACAAGCAGGTAGCTTAGTTGGAATGGTACAAGAAATATTAGTAAATTAACAAAAAATCCGCTAATGTTTAAAAATATATATACTACTAGCTGTCGCCCGCGACTCCGTCCGCCCGGGATTAAAAATAGATATTGGCCGATTCTCAGGTTCGACACATTGTAATTTGGCACGGGCATAGTCCCAAATAACACAAAACATTTATCCCTAGCACTATTATTGAACCTGTTTTTTTTATTATTTTCGGACAGTCTCAGGCAAAAGCTAGTTTTTAATATAATTACCCCTAAATCTTATTACCTTAACTGCAGCACGATCCGGGTTTTCGAACCAATTCTTCTTAGTCCTCTTGTTGAATGCGAGTTTTCCGTGCAATATGAGACCGGTGGCGATTGTCTGCCCGGAGTGGGCGATCGGGAACCATGGCAACAACTTGTCGGATGCGCAACTCGTTGTTGGTGTCATTTTGTAATAATAGTGACGACCTATAAAGGATAGTATTATACAGTATGGATGTATTGTGTGAAAAAGCATATGCGTAAGAAGGGTTGAATTTAGATGTGATAGAGTATGGAGGAGAAGCACAAACTGTGCCGGCCATGCGTGGTGACAAGGGTAGGTTGATGATGATGAACACAAGTTATTTTCTTCAATCGAGATACTAGGAACATAGGCACTGAATGCAAATAAATATTTTAGTGTAAGTTGATAAGTAAGTGTCCACAATTCACTAGCGGTACGCGAACTTTAGTTTTCCTAAAAATATTTTTAAGAATCTTGGGTTAGTACAACGTTGGGTACAGTTTGTGATAACCTAGCGGTTCACTTGGTATTGGTTATGCTCCTTTACTTACCCATCAAAGGAAGGCAAGCTTGTCTAGTGAAGGAACTCTTTTCAAGGTCAGCGCTCTTCGCGGAGATCCGCATCAGCTTTCCATTGAAGCCCGGTAGCCACACAGCGCCCTCTCGCAGCAAAGACGAGGAGTTGGTCATCTTCATACGATCTTCTTTGCTCATGTCTAACGTTGCTGCATGCATCATAACGAAAAATGAAGTAATCGATTTTAGGTTAGGTTTACTTTCGTCTCTTTGATCGAAAATTAATTAATTACCTACTTAAAAGATACTGATTATTTTTTTTTCAAAATCAAAATTTTATATGTTAAATTAATGTATGTTTCGAAAACAAGTATTTGAGGCAGACCTTTTGAGACGAAATATTGCTGGATCGCCCAATACTTGAGTTTCGTCCCATCGGCGGTTGTCGCGGTCCATTCGACAAAGCCTTGAGTTTTCCAGTTTAATGTCGAGCCGCTGATGTCGATTTGTGCTATCTGTAAAAAATAGTTTTTGTATATTTTGAATTTTTAATCGGCGATAGAAAACATCGCAACCTGCTCAAATCTACGAAAAAGTTCAAACATATATGTGTAATCAAGCAATCCGCAGTTGACTAGCGTGGTTGACTTTTAGCTAGTGACACCTAACTTAAGATAGGCTGTTGATATGATGAGTAAAATACTTAAGGACTAATTAGATAGACTTCAAAGGACATACAGCGATTTGTATTCCAGCAACAACGCCCTCTGGATCATAAAGTGCGCACATCATGCGGTCATCCGCACAGTACATGACCAAGCTTGGCAACGGCCCAGACGGTCGGGCTGTCTTAGCCCATCCTTGGGACTTCGCCGCACTCAACGTCCGCGGGATCGGAATGAAGGCTTCCGTCCCAATGGCCATGCCGACACCAAACCTGACTGATTAATATTCAATTAAAACAAATAACATCTCTCTTCAAAATCAAACAAAACGTTTATGTTCATAAAAAATACAATCGTTCTTATGTATTATTAAGCTAATAATTTCTAAGTCCGGGATCTTTTACAACCCATCCGCTTATTACACTTTTAAAATGAGTTAGTAATCATAATCAGCAACAAACATTTATATTTTCCTTGAATTTAAGTTCGGGTCATTATAATTAATTTTGTAAGAGAAATCCTAATAAAATCGTAAATATTTTAACTCTACAATAAAGTACAAAAAAAATAATTACGTAAGTGGTAACACGAGACGCTTTTGTGAACGCTATCTTTTTTTATAGATATTATACTTTACTTTATAGATTTTATTTCATTATTACACAATGAGAGATTATTCATTTATACGAGTATAATATTTCGTTAGATTTAATGATAAAAACATTTGATTTAAATTTCACATAGATTTAAAACACATATTATCAAAATTTTATTTAATATAATACCATGTTTGTAAGACACAGGATTCTTCCCACGATTAGCTATAACTATGGGCATACAACTTTGTCGAAATATCGAGCTAAAATAGATTACTCGAGGAAAATGCGTTTCTTACAAAAATTATGTTAGGAAAGAAAAGTTTATAATTATATAACAGTATAATTTTAACAGTGGTAGAGCCTGCTTTAACATCTTCGCACGAATTGGCCCGGCTCGTCCGGTGAAATACCACGACCACACAGAAGACAGGCGTGAAGTGGAAGCAATTCCGCGTTTCGTCTGATGAGTGTGCGTCCCGGAAGCCTAATTTAGTCCTCTTTCCTTCCCAACCTCTTTCTTATAAGGAATGAACGGGAAGTGTAAGTGGACTTTTCGGATGGGAGGATGCATGTGAAGGGAAAATATTTTCTTTCTGTGCATCCCCTCCTCCGTCGATTAAAGGTAGGCAACGCAAATGCAATTGCGTATGTCTGTGGGCAACGGTCACTGCGCTATTTCAGCGATTTCAGGTTACCGCTCGCTCGTTTGCCACCTTATGATACAAAAAAAACATACTTATCCTGTAACCGTTATTAAAACTAAATCATAAAAATAAATAATCCAATATTATCATACCACGCAGTCCGCTTTCCCATGCCCCTGAAACAATAATACGTGACTGAATATTTTTTTTAAATTAATAATTGTCGAATATAAAAATTAACTACAATTTGTATGTATCAGAAGTACAGTTTTATACATAATAGTAAATAAAAGGTTAAAATTTATTAACAAACATGATAACTTACCAAATGCTCCGCAGATCAGTGCAAAAAGTATAAATAACACTTGCATTGTTGCTCGTCTCGTCTGTGTACAAAATAATTGCAGCTTTCACCTCTATATATATAAATTGCACCGATGTAATATCTTAATCAAATCCTAAATTATATCAACGATGGATTAAAATGTTAAGAGTATTATAATTATCTACTTGATACTATATCAAAAGGTGATATTCTTCCGTAGTAGGGGTCTACGCAATGCCACGAATGGTTTAGGTGAAACTTACTCGCTAAAAAAAACCCAACAACCATAATGCCTTATTTTAATAATGTAATTGAACCTCTTAATAACTAAGTTATTATCGGTTCACATCGCTCATTTCCTTTGGTCCCTATAAGCGTGAGCTTAGTGATACGGAGGTGGTGGATCGAAATCCGTAATGTCGACAACCACAAGTCTTTAGCTCAGTCGTTATGGTTTCTTTCTAGCAACCGTAACAACTGATTTTTGAGATTTTGATGTTTGAGATTTCAACTGAGGTTATAGTATTTATTAGGTTTATCCATTTTTTTATTAAAAAAAGTAATACGGCACTTCGCTTGTCTTCTGTGAGACTGTGGTATTGCAACATTCAACAGACGAAAAAAAGCGTCGGCAGGGAAAAAGCAATTAGGTTTAATTTGATACGAACATTGTCCAAATTGGCAGTAGACTAAATAGATAATGACTATTAAGAACTTTTGCCTTTTCATGTAAAATATGGATAGCCGAACATCAACTAGCATGTTCAACGTCACCGACATTCCAGGCAAGTTAATTTTATTGCGGATTGCAGTGGCACGTAACGTGTTAAGAGACAATTAGTGATTAACTTCAGGAGTCGCCATTAAAGCCAGTTTGTGGTTAAGAAGAAAAAATCCGAATCATAGACAATAATAATGAAGGATTAAAACAATTATCAATTTCATTAAAATAATTTAATTTCTTTAAGAATGTAACAATTTATAGTTTGCAACATTGATTTGAGATTATTTGTTTTCTAGACAACCGATGAACCAGGGCGCGTCTACGTAGTAGATGTGCATGGTGACGATGCCTGGGCTGTCAGCCATGTTGTACAGGCACTGTGGACCATGTGGAACGATAGCCTGGAACAAAAACATAAGGATGAGGTAAAAGTCTTCAAGAATGTACTGCCTATGTTAACAAATCGCAACTTAAGAGTCATAACAGTCGATAAATCCGTTAATCTTTAAAACGTAGGTTAATATATAACATTTTAGAACTTGGATCCCATTGTTGAATGAACATTCTAGAAGCGTTTTAGTGTGTCTATTTAAGATAGATTAGTTTAACAATTCATTTGACAATTCACTAGAGATGGGTTGAATAAAATCGGTTATGTAAATTTTCAATTTTCGATGGTTGTTTTTTTATAGAAATTGTAATCGAAAATATCGTGACTATTGTTTTTGATTTACAATGTAAATCAAATTGTTTCTTTCTATGCCAACTTTGTTCTTCAAAACTACGTAGAAAAATAAAATATTAAACCAAAGATTGAGGTGTTGAGAAATTAAAAGAACTTTTTTTTAGTGTATTTTTCTAGTTAATTGCGTGAGACATAGCTAAATAACAAATTCAAAAAGTAATAAAATACGTAAGTTACAGTATTTATTTGTTTGATTAATATTATCATAAGACCGATTATCGATAGTTCATACCGTTACGACACTATGACAACCGTCCAAAAAGTACAACATTAATCCTCATACAAAATTAATTCGACATTTTATAGGCGTCACTAGTCAAACTAATCAATCTTAAATAGACATACTATATTGAACGTTACTCTATTTATTTATTTTTTTAAATTACCATAACTGCCAGTTTTCCTGGATTCTCGAACCAATTCTTCTTAGTTCTCTGATTAAGGGCCAGTTTTCCGTGCATTATGAGACCCGTGGCGATCGTCTCTCCGGAGTGGCCGATAGGGAACCAGGGGTATAGTTGATCCGATGCACAACTTGCGTTTTCAGTCATATTGTAGTAATAGTGACGGCCTGAGACAAAAAAAACAATAAGTAAAATTAGACTTCTAGAGAAATATAAAATCGGCCATGGTAGAAATCTAGTGAGACCTTAGTCTAGTTAACTGTGTATCTTGATTTAGATATTCGTGTACTAGAATTTCTTATGTTGCTTTTGATAATTTAACAAGTATAGTGTTTAATTTGTTAATTGTGTTATACATTACATGAAAGAAAAGAAGATAATTCCAACATTTTATTTAACAGTGGTAGAGCCCGCTTTAACATCTTCGCACGAATTGGCCCGGCACGCCCGGTGAAATACCACGACCACACAGAAGACAGGCGTCAAGTGGAAGCAATTCCGCGTTTCGTCTGATGAGTGTGCGTCCCGGAGGCCTAATTTAGTCCTCTTTTCCTTCCCACCCTTTTTCTTATAAGAAAAGGATGGAAAGTGGAAGTGGACTTTCCGGGTGAGAGGATGCATTGAAAGGGAAGATATTTTCTTACTATGCACCCTCTCCTCCGTCGATTATATCTTATGGGCAACGGTCACTTCACTATTTCAGCGATTTCAGGTGGCCTCTCGCTCGTTTGCCACCTTATGATATAAAAAAAATTGTTTGAGAGCAAATGAAAAGAAGTTATAAACCTTTTCGTTGTACAACGTGCTAGCATTTACGAGTCTGGTATAAATAAAATGGAAGTTATTACCCATCCAAGGAATACAAGATTGACGTGTGAATCCGCTTCCTTCTATTTCATCAGCCTTGGCAGATATTCTCATCAATTGATTGTTGAAGCCAGTCACCCAAACAGCGCCTTCACGGAGCAGTTCCTTCGATTTAGTGATCTTAATACGTTCTTCTTTGGGCAAATCTAATGTGTCTGTGAAAAACAGTTTCACCTTTATTGTTACGTGAAAATCCTGACTTCATCTTTGCTGTCAGTCAGTGTCAGTCGGTAATAATCTGAAATAAGTATTCAGTATCAAACCTTGGGAGACGAAGTATTGCTGAATAGCCCAGAACTTCAAAGTCTCTCCATCAGCAGTTGTCGCAGTCCATTCAACGAAGCCTTGAGTTTTCCAATCCAATGTTGACCCGCTGATGTCATCTTGGGCTATCTGTAAGGTTTCAAGTTCTCATGAATATAAAAAAAATCAGGGCAATGGTTAATCTCGCTCTAACTAATTGCGTCTTAACTAGAGATTTTATAAAACTAGTACTCTAAAGTTTTTTAGTTATGAGATAGCAATTGTTATCTCCTTTTCCTTACAGAGAGTCGGCTGTTATGGCTGACTCTTTCATTAATTTCTGCCAGCTTCCATATTTGACTTAATCCCGAATTCTCAGTGGAATGATACGATTAGGCATACTTACGGCGATTTGCAATCCTGCAATGACACCCTCTTGGTCATAGAGGGCGCACATCATGCGGTCGGGCGCGCAGTACATAACAAGGGAAGGCAGGCGGCCAGGCGGGCGGACGGTTTGCGTCCAGCCCTCCGACACCACCTCATCTACAGTGCGAGCGATCGGGATGAAGAAGTCACTCCCAATGCCCAAACCAACGTCGAACCTCACTATAATATAACACAAAGTAGGGTTAGAATAGATGAATAGTTTTTAATTTAGCTCTACATATACTTGTAAATATTTCTATTATATTATATAAAAAAAAGAAAAAAGTAAGCTAATAGTCAAATAAAAATTTACATCTGATGTGATTATTATTGAATTATTGTTACTTTATTATAATACTAGCTGTCGCCCGCGACTCCGTCCGCGCGGAATTAAAAACAAACCAAAGAAGTAGCCATGTGTTCTTCCAGACTATGCTCTACATCTATGCCAAATTATATCGAGATCCATGCAGCCGTTCCGGAGACACCTTCAAACATCCATCCATTCATCTAAACATTCGCATTTATATAATAACATTAGTAAGATTAGTCAGAAGTAAGTTCTAATTAAATCTTACCTCGTAGTCCGCTCTCCCATGCTCCTGAAAAAAGAGTATAATCATGAAAAATAAAATGATAAATTTAATATAAAATTAATTATTTCCAATTCAATGTAATTACTTTAAGATAAAATTCCTCCGCTGCCTCTACGGTGATAAACAAAATATTCATTGCATAATGCAGTACAAGGCTTATATTAGTTTATTTAGTAACTTACCTAAAGTACTGCAAACCAAAGCTAGGATTATGACTAATTGTTTCATCGTCGTATCTTCAAATCACAGCAAGAAATAAAAGAAATAATTGATTCACCCGATATATAATAGTTAACCATAATCAAAGATCCACGAAATTATAAAAATAAGATAAGATAATATAAGAAAGATTTATTTAAAGATTGCAAGAAATATTTTATAAGGATAACGTTATAATCGACAGAGTGTCGATTGCTCAGGGGTAAAGCACTTGACTTGCAATCTGCAGGTCCTGGGTTCCAATCCCACCATGTACCAATGTGTTTTTCGATTTCCGATTTACATATGTACATTTATTCAACGTTCTTACGGCGAAGGAAAACATCGTGATGCAACCTGCACATATCTGAGAAGAAATTCAAAGATATGTGTGAAGACAACCAACCCGCACTTGGCCAGCGTGGTTGACTATGGCCTAATCACCCTTAACTTAGGGTAGGCTCGAGCCCCTCGGTGGGGACGTATCGTAAGCTGATGATGATAATGATGATAATATAATTTTGCTTACCCAGTCACTATGGAAATACAAACATTATAAATGCGAGAGTTTGGATGGATGTAGAACATAGTCTTGAAGAACACATAGGCTACGTTCTAAGTTTCTTTTGCACAAAACAACGTAGGGTACTTCGTAACGGGCAATAGCTAGTAGGTATTAGATAATGTACTTAGAGAGATAATAGAAATGATACATGGCTATTATTTTTTTGAATCTTTCCGTGTTATCATCATAAATTGTTATCTTATATCTATACGTCTATGCATATTAATACAATTGGAATAAAAATAATCATATTTCTTACATATTATGTATTAAGTAGTATAAAATATATGTCTATCTGTCTGTATGTCTGTCAGCAAGGCCGCGTTTGTTCCGAATAATCTCTAGAACAACTAGACCGATTTTAACGGCACTTGAACGGGACGGTAACTGATGCACGCATGCATGTTATAGGCTAATTTTTTCTATTTTGCGATGACTACTAAAGACATCATGTTGGCGAAATGTTTTATTTTCGGTATTACACAACACCAATATATGGTACAATAAAAATAAAATTTGAGCATATTGTTTACAAAAACCAGTTTATTAAACAAAAAGTAGGTATGTAAACTTTGATTATTTACAAATGATGGATAGTAAGTAATGTGCCAAATTATCAAAATATGGCGTTCAGAAGATATTATAAAATCAGCCAAAAACATTCTTCACTTCATCAACAATTTTGTTGGCGTATTTAGCACTGTTCATCATCAATCGCGCGACAACGCCTGGTTTTTTTATTGAATCACCGTCTCTGAAAATTAAAATTTAGGATGTATTAATTGCTCTCTACTATAATATACTAGTTTTTGCCCGCGTCTGCGTCGGCGCGGAATTAGAAAAAATACTTAATAAGTAGCCTATGCGATCTTGCCGACTCTATCCAAATATTCAAACTTTCGCAATTATAATATGTTCAGTAACGATAAGTAAGATCGCTTGTGCTAATGTAGAGCCTAATAAAAAAGGAAAGACTGCCAAAAAACCCACGTTAAAGAAGCTATAGGCGGACACATTCCAGACAGACCGATAAAAATAATCCGTATATGCAAATTATTGATGCATACGACAACTTTTTTTTTATAGCATAAGGTGGCAAACGAGCGAGCGGCCACTCGAAATCGCTGAAATAGCGAAGTGACCGTTGCCCATAGACATAAGCAATTGCATATGCGTATGTCTATGGGCAACGGACCTTCCACCTCGGAGTTCCATCTACCTTTAATCGACGGAGGAGAAGATGCACAGAACGAAAATTGTTTCCCTTCCCATGCATACTCTCATCCGGAAAATCCATTTCCACTTCCCATCCTTTCCTTATAAGGAAAAGCGTGGGAAGGGAAAGAGGAATAAATTAGGCCTCCGGGACGCACACTCATCAGACTGTACTTGGAATAGCTTCCACTTGACGCCTGTCTTCTGTGTGGTCGTGGTATTTCACCGGACGAGCCGGGCCAATTCGTGCGAAGATGTTAAAGCGGGCTCTACCACTGTTAAAAACTAAATACCACTAACTTCAGGCTATAATTCTTTATTTTATTCCCCACAGTCGCGGGTGACGGCTAGTATTCAAATATAAATTGTAAAAAAAATATAAATATCTTATCTACAAGCGGTAACTAAGCCTATATTTGATATCTATTTAAAATTTTATCCTATTATAGAAAATTTTATCATCATTTCAATTCAAATTAATATGATGATTGTTAACTTACTTGCACTTGATAGTCCACGGCTTATCGATGAAATAAATATGTAATGATATAACTCCGTACTTATCAACATTGTCGTAAAGACATTGCGGTGCTAATGGGATGGTTATCTGAAACAAATTTCGAATTATTTTATAACAATTTTTTAAAAGGTGTGGTAACATTATAACTTCTCCCTTGAATTCTAGACGACTTAGGTAATCCAAATGTACTTTTGTATAATTTATTTTGTGTAATCTGTAAAATCTGTCAACCCTAACTTGGGTAGGCTCCGAGCCCCTCGGTGTGGACGTATAGTGAGCTGATGATGATGAATCTGTAAAAGCCCAATTATAGTAAGAATTTCCTAAATCCGTTTCTAAAAATTTACCCAAACCTCTCTGTTACCTTAATAATGCCACCATAAATGTTTAAAATTCAAACATTCTGTCCTGTTTTCTTCAATTCCAACTAACATTAATACATATTTGGTTAACTTTTCTTAAAGTAAAATGATTAAACTTAATACCGGTGCGCTATCCTTCGGAACTTTCTCGAACCAGTCAGGATTTTGTTTGGGTATTCTTCCAATGACCTGGAAGCCGACGACGGCTAGGTCTGTGTCTGTAGTCGTTGCGAACCAGGGGAACAGATCCTCGCACTTCAAATCCGGTGTCATATTATAGTGATAGTGGATACCTAGAAGACGAAAAAATTAATCAAGTTTTGTTTTCATCTTTTAAAATATTTTTCAAATTAAAATATCTGACCCATGTTAGGTATGCAGTTTTGTTTCTTCCACGAGGTGGTGTTAAGTTCACCCTCTGTGCTTGGTATCCTCATGAGGCGGTTGTCGGGGCCGGCTACCCATACGCCGCCATCTTGGAGCGTCGCACCGTTCTCTATAGTTGGCCCGGCGCCTGCCTTCAATGATTCTGCAATTTATATAAACGACTTTAACAACAACGTAACAATATGAAGATACTTTAGCCAGGAAAAAGAAACTGAATACACTAAGTACAACGTTTTCATTGTAATGCGACAAATTGTTGAGGCCTCTTTAGCTCTGCGGCGGCTGGAATGGTGTGGATGAAATTTGTTAGTTTGTTTTATCCTTCGTTGAGAAATTCCAGTCCAGCGTTTTAGTCTAGTTCTAACGGCTTTATTGGTATGAAATGTGATCGTGGTTTCTGGTAATTATTTACCTTCGGAGACGTAGAATTGTGTAGCAGTCCAGTACTCCTTCTCTGGTTCCCCATGTGAGGCTTTCGCAACCCATTTCACAAATTTTTTCTCCGGTACCCAGAATGGAGGATATTCGTAGCCTTCAACTGGTATCTGTAATTAAAGTATCAACGGATCCTAAGAGTAACAATAAGGATAAAGGTTTAACAATTTTATTGTCTACTAGCAGTTTAGTAAGACATGTATTTTCTACTTCCAGATGGTATTTTAATATCTTATATCTAGTGAGAATGTGATTGGATACCGTAATCGTATGAACATTAAAAGACTCAGTCGGGATTCAAAATTTCATTAATTCATTTGTTTTTCTTTTTTATTATTCTTAAAGGTTCCAGATGTCCTCGGTCCTCGACCCTCGCGCGCGCAATTCAAGATAAATTAGATAAACGTCTCGCTGCAGCGCGACGACAGCGGTCAATTGGTCCGCCGTCCGCGATGAATACTTTGTCATCTAATAACATTACTTATACTTTTGATTGTGCAACGGAGAAAATTCCATCCATCACGGAATGTTTTTTTAATAGCTAATCTTTCTCGTTCAATGTAAAAACAACGCAATGTAACGAGACCAAATACTAGAATAAATAATAAAATATCAACTTTAACAGTGGTACAGCCTGCTTTAACATCTTCGCACGAATTGGCCCGTCTCGCCCGGTGAAGGACCAAGACCACACAGAAGACAGGCGTGAAGTGGAAGCAATTCCGCGTTTCGTCTGATGAGTGTGCGTCCCGGAGGCCGTATAAGTCCTCTTTCCCTTGCCACCCTCTTTCTTATAAGGAAAGGATGGCAAATGGAAGTGGACTTTCCGGATGAGATGATGCATGGAAAGTGAAAGCATTTTCTTTCTGTGCATACTCTCCTCCGTCGATTAAAGGTAGGCAACGCATATGCAATTGCGTATGTCTATGGGCAACGGTCACCTCGCTATGTCAGCGATTTCAGGTGGCAGGTCGCTCGTTCGCCACCTTCTGATATAAAAAAAAACTGCACAAGAAACGAAGGATGGCAGGATTACGTCAAATGGGTTTCGTGAATCTCTTTGTTATGGCTTTGATCCTTCAAGAAAAGAACATACACCCCTAAAGTTAGACTACGAGGAACAGTTGACGTGTCTTTTAGTGTTGTTGTGAAGCGAGAAGTAGATTATTTTATATATTCTTTACTCACAGCAACTTGTAGTCCTGCTATGAACCCAGCAGTGTCGTACAACGGGCAAACATTCTTGCCTGTGGAGCAGTACATGCGAAGCTCAGGTAATGGTCCCGGAGGTCGTTCGGTTCGTCGCCAACCTTTCGCCTCAGCATCGCTTACAACGCGCGGCAGACTGAAGAAGTACTCTTTATCCGCTAGTGCATCTGACCAGCCGAATTTCACTAAAAACACAAAAGAACTTAACTAAATAATACCCGATTGGTACCTCAAGCGCGTCATTTCAGGTTATGACGTGGCAAAACGTGTAAACTCTTTGTATTTTGTGACAAATTATTTTTATATTTTTAAGTATAGTGAGAATTGTTTGAAATTGCAAAGTAACGGTTTAAACCATTCTTTTAAATTAATGTATTCTGTAGATTGGAGCTCAGGGGACAGTCGGTGGCTTAATCTGCAGGTTCTGGGTCCGAATTCCATATACCAATGTGTTTTCGATTTATGTACATATGTACATATATCCGACATTCTTAAAGTGAAGGATATCGTGATGTAACCTGCACGTATCTGAGAAGAAATTCAAAGATATGTGTCGTGTCAGTCCTCACTGGGCCAGCGTGATTGTCTAAGGACTAGTTACCGCTAATTTAGGTTAGACTCCAAGCCCCCCCGTAAGGACTTATAGTGAGCTGATAATTAATCTGTAGATTACATGAAATAAATGTTTATAACAAAAAATTTAGTTAAACGCGTTTAGTTCCGTATTTCATTGTTGACGAATAACCAATTAAAATTAACAAGGTTGATGAAAAAACGGCGTAGTTTTACAGTTCCGCGCGCACTCAAACTGGCCACTGCGGATCTGGTTACGATAATAACGTACTTTTATGTTGCTGCATAATATGTTTTAGCACATAAAAACACAATAAAATGTGATAATTGACTTTTCAAAATTATACAAGTAAAAATAAATTTAAAACAATTTGATATTCTTTCTCGTATTTTGTACGATATCAATGGATCTATGGAAAAATATCTCTTATAGGGGAGCTCTTCATCATATGCTGTATTAGAAAACTTATCGCAACTTTATTAAAGTTACTATTAGTTAATATTACGATTGTTTAAATAGAAATATTGAAAAATAATTTACCTCGATATCCGTCATATTGTAAACCTGAAAGAAAGATTATTAAAATTAGTAAAATGTAATTGCATCATTCCAATTAAACATTATAACATCTTTGTCGTGTAAATTACTAAATTTTCATCTAGTTTGATGAGGCAAGCTATTCTTGTATACAGGTCTAAAAATTCATTACTGGTATTCCAAATATAACAATATTCATACACAATTAAAATACTTTACGATTAAAAAACTTGCCAGTTAAATAAAATCTGAAAGCCATTTAAAATAGAAGAAATAAAGACACAATACAAAAGAAAACGTTGGAGAGGCTTTCCATGAAGGAGTATATATTTTTTTAATCTGTCTGAGAATAAAATGCGTTCGTAGTCGATTCTTATCGGATTGTTTTAAATAATAAAAACAAAATGACCATATATATAAAAGCGAAAGAACAGGTGCTTAAAATGAATAGGTATTTTGATGATAACTCTGTAGTCTTCTAAGGGCTGCTGTAAGTATCGTCACCGCTGCTGCCAACAGCTGCAGAGGGCTTCAAGATGTCCGTGTATGGTAACCTTGGATTTTAATTTGATCCTTGGAATTGAAATTAGCATAACTTTGGTAAATGTAGTAGTAATATGACATGTCAACCTAGACAGAAATAGGTGTCCAACGTCATGATCGTCGACAGCCGCTTATCTGGGTGCTACTATTAACCCTTATGTTAATTTTTTTATAGTATACCATACATATCACTATAATATAATTTTTAACTTAGTTTTATTAAACTTATTTTTGCCTTTGCGTATTTTTTGCTTTTCTTCAAAGAAAAAATCTTACCACATTAAAGGTTAATATCTTCTTATTTGAAGTAGTTTATATATCTATTTAACATTTTTTGATTCTCTCAGCCGCTCCCTCCCCTTTTGTTTTGGCCATAGAGAAAAGTTTTACTTTTGACAGTAGAAATAGAATAAATAGGAATAAAATCGATATAAATTTGAAAATAATTGAAGAGCGTAGAATGACCTTGAATAAAGTCATTGCTACTTTAGTAATTAATGATTCTACCCAAATGTTTTGGAAACCGGCTTATAAATAACGTATATCTTTATATATACGAGTATATAATTCTTCAGTGAGTGTGTATGTCACTGAACTTCTCTCAAACGACTGGACCGATTTTGATGAAATTTTTTGTGTGTGTTCAAGGGGATCTGGGAATGGTTTAGATTCACAATTTTCATCAAATATTAACTTCATATTAATTTATTCAAATTAAAGACGTGTAGACACGACAACGTCTGTCGGGTCGGCTAGTTAAACTATAGTTCGATTAAGTTTCAAGATAGATTGAGCAGAACAGTAATTAAAACAATAATAAAACAATCAAATAGCAATATATCTCATCGTAATATTGTTTATAACGTGGTGACCTTAATTATCTTTAGAGTTGGAGAAATAAGAATATGACAGACCTGCTATCAAAAAAAAAATGATATAAATTAAAATTTAAAACTCTACATGGAGCGTTTGGAGCACAAAAGTGAGGCATAGCATGGCGTAAATCCAGATTTTTGTGGTTAATTTTCAAAGTGTCATCAACATCAACCTATCCTTATCGTCACGGAGGGTCGGCACAGTATTTACTACTCCTCCATACATCTCTATCAGCCATCATATCTTCTTCACATAATCCATCCGTACTGTCTTTGGTCTTCCTCTACCTTTGTAGCCATCCATATTATACATTATAATATTAACATATTAAAGTAAAACGAATACAATCACTTTTCTTATGTTTATTTTTTATTTCTTAGTTTATAGTAAGTTTAATAAAATCATTAGTCGTGACATTTTTAAAACAATAATTACTAATTTGACGACAACAGTAAAATACAATTTTGTTTTTGTTAATTTTTTTGGGTTCTTATTTGTTTGAAATAAACGTAATATTAAAAAGGTAAGTTTTACTTCATTTTAATGATAATATTTCGTAACTTGTCTTACGATTAAACGTCAAACGTTTAAATAAAATATTTGGTTATTATAACCTAACTAAAGATGCTTAGAAAAATATAAAACTTATCTAAATTCACAAAAAAATCTCCGTTTTAATATTGAAAAAGGGTTCAAAAAATTACATATAAAATTAAGATAATAATAAAATGTCTAGTAAAGTAGTTAAAACATACCAGTCGCTAAAGACGCAATCCCCAATAGGGCAAATGCAAACTTCATCGTAACGAGGGAACTTTGCCAGTATGCGCGCGAGAGCGTCGTAACTCGTAACCAACTCGACTGATTCCCGCGCTCCTTGCTAACTATTATAAGTTGATTTTAGGCTTCCTACACACTTATTATTCTTGTTATTAATTATTTGTGAGCAGAAATTTTAATCTGTATGCATTTTTTAAGACTTTTCCTCTTGATCACTATTATAAGAAAATTCCAAACGTCTGAACTGAAATGTTTCTTGTAGTAAAAAAGCTGGCATAAAAATATGATAAATAGTACATTTATTAACTAACTTTGCATAATTACATATAGCTTAAGACTTTTTAAGGACATTTCCAAAAAATTGACCGACATCACAGGGGACCGAAAAGCTGGCAACTACCTCGGTCAAAGAATTAGTTTAGCTGTCCAAAGGGGGAACGCTGCCAGTATCTTCGAAACCTTGCCTAAAGTGACTCCTTTTAATAACATATTTTAGTGAATTATTCGTTTTTTTATTACATGTTAAAATATGAAGTAAATGCATTGCGTTTTGATTATATTAATATGAAGGATTTTCGTTAAAATTATTTTTGTATATATACGCCCCTTATTGCAACTTTCAATGTATGATGTAAACTAAGGTTTAAACGGAAGCAAGCGACGTTTTTTAATCGTTAACCTCAAATAAAAAAAAAACGTTGGCATACATTGATAAACATTTATTGCATGACGGCTATACGCAGAGTAAATTCCTCGAAAGTCAGTACTTAAATATAAACCTTACCATATCATCTATTCCAGACTTTCACTTCGTCCTTTAAGACTTTACTGATTGTATTTAAACGAAACATATTGTCAACTATCTCTGTTTTCTCAAAAAGAAAGGACGACAAATGTTTCGCAAATGTCCGTACGCAGTTAGCCTTATATCACAAAAGATGTCTGAACATCATTTTAAATTATGGTCTACACATTTCTTAAAACACAATATCCTCTTTTTAGTATTTTGATGTTACTCGTTGTATCTTTTTGTATTTAGGCATTTTAGTTTGGGACCATCAATCTTCCTTTTATAGTGTAAAACAAGGCAGCGTTTTTATAACCATAAATAACAATAATGATTGTCGTTATATGTAGCTATGAAGATGAAATTGACAATAAAAGCGGCCACAAACAATATTATTTTTTTATTTGTTTACCCATCTATTTATTAATAACCAAATAAAATAATAAATAAATTATTAGAATGCAGAATTTTAAGCATAAATATTCTCTTTGACTTGAAAAATAAAATAGCAAAAAATTGATTTAAAATGTTCTTGACGTGGCGTCGCACAGGCGTTGTGTTTTTAACGACTTGGCGTACGTCCTAAAGAAAAGCGATAGAACTTTGATTTTTATCAAAAACAATATACTTTAGACGCAGTAAATTCTATTTCTACGATGAAAAATGAAAAAGATTTGGTGTGCATGATTGAATAGGTACCGTCCGATTGTTAGAGTCAAAAAAATGTTAAAATAGGTCACGACACTTTGACTTCTACATCACCTAATGACTAGTTAAAGAGGTCGATTGTTTCCAGCGTTGGCTTTTTCCTATTTTGTTATTTACACCTAGCTTAAGGTCCGCGTCCTTCAGTGAAGATAATAAAGTAAACATACACAAGAATTTTGAAACATTTGTTCAAATATCTATTAAATGCCTGTCTTTAGATAACTGAATCGCTTTGGCCGTGAATAATCTGACACAGAATATGATATAACCTTAAAAGACGTAATATATGTTTAAATAACCTAGATTTCATTACTACACGGATATCCACTGTTTTCACACACATACTCGTTGTAAAAATAGAGATAAAAATGAATTGTACGGATGTCTAAAGCAAGGAAAGCGAAGCTAAGATACAAGTAAGGTTGCTAGCTCGCCAAACCTAATAGCCGGACAAACCAGCCAGTTTAGTGTAGAAAGGCCGGACACCCTACATTATTGAGATCAAGGTCGTTTGCGAAATGTAAAGCCTAACAAAAGCCGTCAACCCGGATACCGTTTATTTTGGCCGGACACGCAATCAAAAAGCCTACCTATGACCGGATCTATCCGGACGCCTCGCAACGCTAGGTACAAGGATGATAATTATCAAGTAAGGTGAAATAGTAAACAAACAAATGTTACTTAAATTAATACTTCAATTTTGACCAGGAGTAAAATTATATCAGAAAGTTGATACGAGAGTTTAACAGTTAATTTCCTCAAATATTTTAGAATACGAATTCCAGCGTAACTAGTAAATCAGTTACAAAATGCTCTGACGCATTTTAAACTTCATTGCCGTAAGGTAATTTCATAACGAATACTGTTAAGTTGCCAATAGCATTGACGACCCTCGGCAAATCCCAAACGTCACTGGCAGCTTGGCACAGACACGGACGATGGGGAAACCACAGAGTATAACAATAGACAACTTTGTTATATTGCTCAAAGAAAACAAGTTACAGACTAACCTTTCAGTACAAAGAAGGTTGAAATTCCCGTTTACATCCTTACATACGTTTCGTTTGTTACAAAATCTAGTTGACATACTTTATAGTAAATATCTGATCAAATGGCATAGAACATTACATAATACTAACAAACGAAAGGTTGGCTCTGTCCCCGTGCCAAAGAGGATTTGCTTTGTCTTTGCGAAACATGCTCAAAGGATAAAGTCGTTTCATATTTTATCTGTACTCGTAGATACGAGCACAGACAAAATATTAAGAATAACATTATTAGCATTTTATAAGATTATAAAATGCTAAAAATGTTATTCTTAATTTATAACAAGCTTTATTTATTCTGTACTATTTAATGAAAATGCTTACAGCACGCTTACTTTTGTTCAAAAAGTCAATTTCTAATAAGGTATCTCTGTACTCCTGTATCTCCCTATTTTTGTCCTTTGTAGTGTTTTGTTTGAAAATATAAAAATATGTTTTTATAAAGATGTTAGGGTAATGGAAACCCACGGTTAGTTTAAATCTACGAAATTGAAACGTTTTAGGTTATATTTGTGTTTTAAATTTATTGATTTTCAATGAATTACTTAATAACGATTCACGTTTTCAAAGATGTATATTAGTTATATTCAGAAAACTAATTGTAAACTTTTAATATGTATTTCACTTGAATAACGATACAATCTAATAAAGTATCTCGAAGTTATTGAAGTGGGCCGCTATCGATTGTTGGAGGCTGCAAGATTGATGGCACTAAGCCGGATCCTGTTCCCGCTCCCAATCTGTCAAAGTCATCCGCCAGCTTATCCTGTTGACAAGTTTTTGCTAATCCAAACTAATATAGCAAATTGTCAATGCGAGATATTGATTCAACAGATCATCGAGTTAACATGAACACGTATAGAAATAGATAGATATGTATAAAGGATCTAAAAAGACTCTGCTATCGCAAAAGAACTCTTCTAAAAGAAAAGGTACCTACAACTTGAATATCTGATATTGTTTTCTAAATTAACGAGTTTAAAAATAAACTAGATTTACCTATAGACGTTATTTTAATCATCATCATCATTGTCAGCTTGAATTCGTCCACTGCTGTACGTTTGCTTCCGCCCATCGATTGCGACAATGCCCAGTAATGTGCCGCATCCAATGCACTCCCGCAACCTTGACCACGTCATAGATTTTAATACAAAACACAAAAAACAACAGGGTAACTTATTGAAAAAGATTTTACATCGTTGACATGTGTTATCCGACTTTTGTCTAAATGAATCTACAAATTAATTAATCTACCGACCCCATTTCCTAGGTCAGTAGGGTTCCGATGCTACAAATACTATAAATCAGATCTTTATCTATGCTAATTTTAACTTGAATACTTATTAAGTAAATTAATGCTATGGTTTTCCAAACGAAAGCATTGTTTTTATAAACCGTAAGTTTTCACAACAGAAAGGCCACGTCACGTGTACGTAATTTTTAACAAAATGATTAAATCGAAATAAGAAGCTATTATATGATTTTGTTCGAAATTCCTTTACTTATTCTTTCATTCCAGTTATTATTTAATAGTCCGAAGGCTTTGAAAGTTGATCCGTATTAGGTTGGAAATTTTCTCGTACCCTTTCTGTATTAAAGTATACAACCTCCTTTAACGTGAAACATAGAAGTAAATTAAAAACCAGAATTCCCTCTCTAAGAAATTGAAAAGATTTATCTTCGAAAATAAATCCTCTCATTATATTTATATTCCGAATTTCAGATTTATCATATAAATAAATAACACCTGGATAAACAAGCTTTGCTTGGTTTTTTTTTTTTAATTGTGTTTTTTGGAAATTATATTCAAGTACGATTTACTAATAAAATGATGAAATATGAATAATATTTTTCGATCTTACCGATAGAAAAAGTTAAGTTAATGTTTAAGTTGATTATCGATAAAACACGAATAAAATTACATTTTCTAAAAATGATTCCTAGCTAGATCGATTTATCGCCCCCGCAACCCCCTATATACTAAATTTTATGAAAATCGTTGGAGCCCATTCCGAGATTCCAATTATATATATACAAGAATTGCTCATTTAAAGATATAAGATGTGTATTTATTGTACGGTATCATCATATCATTCATGTCGTATTATACGTTAAATATTTCATGTTACAAAGCGTTGTTATACGTCATTTATTTCATACATTGACCTCGCGTCCCGGATTCACAGGTCGGGCTTAGGTCCGACTTAATAACCTTGTTCTATTCATCGTCGTTTTGTTAATACTACAAAGCAGTGCCATTTAACAAGGACAATCCGTCCTTTGTCATACGTTTAGACTTTGTACATATGCGAATACTAATTGTCGCCAGACTTCGTCCGCGCAAAATTAAAAAAACTGAGATCATGTTTTATATCTAAGCTTTATTCCACCCATAAATCTAAATATATGCATTTATAATATTAATCAGATAAATTATCGATATAATTAACGATGGATCAATTATCTATATGGAATTACAATATTAAATACAACGTAAAAATATAGGTACTATGAAATAAAATATGTATACTTAGCTGCCATGTACCACTGAGTTTTTAGATTTCCGATTTACATATGTACATTTATCCGACGTTCTTACGGTGAAGGAAAACATCGTGATGCAACCTGCACATGTCTGAGAAGAAATTCAATGATATGTGTGAAGTCAACCAACCCGCACTTGGCCAGCGTGGTTGACTATGGCCTAATCACCCTTAACTTAGGGTAGGCTCCGAGCCCCTCGGTGGGGACGTATAGTGAGCTGATGATGATGATGATTTGAAGTCAACCAACTCGCACTGAGCCAGTGTGATTGAGTATGGCCTAGTCACCCCTAACTTAGGGTAGGCTCCGAGCTGCTTTGTGGGGACATATAGTGAGCTGATGATGAAGTTAGCTGCGGCAACCATAATAAAGTGCACTAATTCGTCACTAAGGGTCGTATCTCACAATTTAGTATGAGAAATCTTTACCAAAGCTATGCGTGTTAATTAAGACCGAGTGCGGTAGTAAGAGATACTATTTTAATTTTACATTTTAATAAAACATTTTCCTAAAAGTCCAAACATCTTTGACGTAAAGGAATACGCGAATGTCAAAAGTTGAACATTCTCAAAGGATCCATGGCTGGTGGTTCCTTTATCAAAGCACATTTGGAATTCTCGTTAAATGTTTCCACGTAGATGAAAGCTGTTAAGATTTTTGCTATGGAATATTGAACCTTAAAGTAATTGAAGTTTGTGAAAGTAAAACAATAACGCATTAACAGTTCAGAGTGTAACAATGGCGTTTGCAATTCCCTTTTCAAGTTAATGGCGTATATCATTTTAGATTTAATTAGAAGGTTTTAATAATAAATGAAATAGCGTATTTACGTAGTCTCCATCCACACGAAAGAACCAAGAGTAATTAAAATGTATAATTACTTCTATTAGTAAGTAGCTATCGCCTGCAACTCACGGAAATAAAAAAGTCATGTGTAGCCTATGTGTGTTGCTATGTTTTACATCGGTGCAAAATTTCAGCGTGATCCATGTAGTCGTTCTGGAGATACCTTCTAACAAACTTCCAGGTTACGCATTTTCCATACATTATCATTAAGCTTTATACAATTTAGCATCAATTCTTCCTTAGTCTAATAAGCCAACATCCAGTTGATTTTTTAGATAAGTATAAGTAAGTATTAGCTTCAATATTTCATTTGTATTCATAATACAGAGCACAAAAGCCATATTAATGTTAGTAAAACAATATTAATAAAAAAATTTTAATAGAAAAGCGTTGAAAACATTTAATATTTCGTTCAAAATACCAACGTCATTAAATTTGCATTAACGTCCTGACTTCTCTCGCCCGCGCAGTTATTGCTTTAATTTTGTATTCAAAACAAAACGGACAAACATTTGCCTTATTAATTAACGCAGGACTTTATAAGATAGATATTATTGCGATTCTATTCATATCAGTTAAAGATGCTTAAAAACAATATTACCTCTGTTTTGTAAAATGTTATCTGCAGATGTTGTGGTCTCAGAAACCCATAGTTAATAAAAAAAACAATGATTTATAAAACTTTATTCAGCCGACTGATTTATGCATTCGTCGGAGTTATAAAGTGACAGGCCATAATATGTTATCTATAATATCGGCGCCAAATATAACCTTTCAATTTCAAATTAGGCGCGAACCGGTCCGGTCACTTTCCATCGTTCGGATAACATCACAGAATGAGTCAGTTGAGTTTTGTATTTTTTTTTTATTTGGTGCTTTCTCCCACACCTGCCCGCAGACGGATATGAATACTTTCCACTGTGGGGAAATGAGTACAACGTTTTGCATGGCCTTGATTCGAGAGACAAGCGATCGGAGCCCGCCAAGTTGCGTTCAGTCTTCGACAGTCGTTCGCGACAAACGCACGTATTGACGAGAAAGTATTTGGCGGGAAACTCGACGCGAGTGACAGAGTGTTTGTGAAAAGTGCTGTGCGACAATAAACATAAAACTGGAGCGATTATTTATTTTGACGAGGTGGGTTGTTATCATAATTATAAAGATGTTTTGTAATACAAATATGTTGAGTAATGAAGAATGCATTGACTTTCCGTTCGTTGCCGAACGATTAAACTTGTTTTAATTTCGCTGTCGGTGCAAAAAATGTGAAAGTATTGGTTACGTCGAGAAATTATGCTTATGGCTTCCATTATGAGTATATCGATGTGCAGCTATAGCATATTTTAGGAATACTGGGTATTTTATTTTTCTATTAGTTTAGAACGTCATAAAAATATTAAGATAGATTTGTGGGCAAGAATAAGACACTGAATATCTACGTAAAGTTTATTGACCCTTAAGTAATTTAATATTTCGCCAGCTTAGTGCACATTGTGCATGGTTAAAGCTTCCATTAAGAAAAGCCTAGTAATTTCTTTAATTATTTGTGACATAATGGTGTTGCTTTCGTCTACATCGTATTTGATTGTAATTTTTGTATAAGAATAATTTCGTTTCTAAAATGGCTCTCAATAAGAATCTATCGTTTAAATGTTGGCGAATCCCTATTTTTTACAAATAAAATACGGTTTACTGAAAGCTGTACTCAAAAATATAAAGCGACAAATAGATTAATTATTGTATTAAAAACAATAAAACTAATTCTAGATATTATGTTTTGCAATTTAATTAAATCAGATTTTAACCTTGTCATTGTGCCTTTCTTATAAATGGAAGCGAATTTATCATAATTGATAAACGACTAATAATAAATTACAAAGTGAAACCTTATGAATGGTCGAAAGGCCGTTTCTCTTGTATTTCAATGTCAGTTGCCCATGCCATATTTTAGTTAAATTAATATTAATTACGTTTTAGCAGGATAGAAAATTTAATAAATGTCTATGAAGAAATACGAAGTCTTAAGTAATTATAGAATTAACGTTTAATTACATTTCTGATAGAGAAAAAGAACGAACGTGTAGAGAAAGAGAGAATGAAATACGACATAACCAAATGTAACCTTATTATTTTGAAGAAAAATAAAATGAATGCAAATCTTACGAGACGTTACGGTCTTATTTCTAGACAGTTGTTATCCTAGGTGTAGGTCGTGGGAACTGGTCTTGAATTTAAATAAATTACATATAATATAGTAACGGCATTACTCTGATTTTACTGTGTATTACAGTTCACTATAGGTTGTCGCGCCTTTTCTTCTTACTAATATAAATGCGAATGTTTGGATGGATGACGCAATGGATGGATGTTTGTTTGATGGTATCTCCAAAATGGCTCTATGGATCTCAATGAAATTTGACATTGTTAAAGAGCCTATTCTGGAAGAACACATAGGCTACTATTTTTTTTTAATTCCATACGGATTCGATGGAAACAGTTAGTAGCATCATATATTTTAATTTCTTTGATAATCTTCTTGCTAATTTTACTGAATTATTGAATACGTGAATATAGTTCATCATCATCAGCTCACTAAACGTCCCCACAGAGGGGCTCGGAGCCTACCCTAAGTTAAGGGTGATTAGGCCATAGTCAACGACGCTTGCCAAGTGCGGGTTGGTTGACTTCACACATATCTTTGAATTTCTACTCAGATATGTGCAGTTTGCATCACGATGTTATCCTTCACCGTAAGAACGTCGGATAAATGTACATATGTAAATCCGAAATCGAAAAAAACATTGGTACATGGCGGGTTTCGAACCCAGGACATGCAGATTGCAAGTCAAGTGCTTAACCGCTGAGCCACCGACGCTATTAATATAGTTAATCATTGATTAATATTCAATTCAAAAGTATAGGAGAAAATATGAAAGTTTGAGGTTATATAACATGATAGTACCTATGTAAATACAAACAGCGTACGCTTCGCTATTCGTAAGTTGAAGTCTATCATGAATATGAATGTACACAGTTTCCAATATGTATAAAGTGCGCTCGCATTATATGCTACTAGTAGCTTTTGAATGCTTTTGAAAAATAAAAGTACTTTTGCAGATAACCTCAATGGAAAGAAATGAGATTGAATAGGCTAAAAAGGTAGAAGAAGACAAAAGTAAATATTGATGGATTGTGCGAAAATATGACGACGTAGCCTTAGAGATTAAAGATGTTTATTAGCTTGTGAAAATAGATGTAACGATAAATTTCTCACGACAAAAATTAACAAAAACTATCTTCAATATTAGGCTTATAAAATTACCTATATTCTAGTTGTATATATACTTTAAGATTTAATACTTTGATACGCTTAAGATTTGTTTTAATATCCTTACATCTATGAGATAGAGGTTCTGTAGAGCCTTAAAAACATAAGCAAAAGATAATTTGTTTTTTAATAACGCTCTTCTTATAACTATAGATCAACAAGATCGAAGTTTCTATTAGAAAGAAATTAACGTCTACGGACTTATAAAGTTATGACTATAACAAGGAACTGTTGTGCGTGATAAAAATGAAATAAGTAAACGCACTTAATATTTCCTAGAACAAAAATAGGTCAATGTACGATAGGAATTGTGTCACAGGAAGTATTCAGTGGAGCCAAATTCCGACTTTCTTTAATAGATCTTTCGTCATAATGAAAGTAAACAAATTAATTACCTTTATTTATTAGCCACCTACGGCTCCCTCCGCTCAGATAAAATAAATTAACCTATGCATTCTTCCAGACTATGTTTTACATCCATACCAAATTTGAGCAAGATCCGTTCTGGTACACTCTAACAAACATCCATACTAAGATTCGCATATATAATATTAGTAAGATATCAGTAATGTATATTTACGTATATAATGATACTTTAATTATAATGTCCAGATATTTTTTTAAATAAAAAGGTGAGTATTTTGGTAATAACAAAGTTTCTAATAAAGAGGATTTAATAATGAAAGTGGACAGAGTAAATTACAGAGTAAGCTGATCGCTCTGTACTCTCTGCTCTGTAATTAACAATAATCCTAGTGCATTATACGTTTACTTTACGTGCTAAGTACAGTCTGTGCAAATCGTTTGCTTCAGTCTGCAGCGTAATCGTATGGAATTAACCGCTTTAGTTGTGTTGCTGTGTGTAACAATTCTTTGTTAAGACATTAACAGTAAGATATGAGGCAGTTTTCCTTAGTCAAATTATTTTTACGTGACATATGGTTGCTTAGTCTACACATTCCTAAAATAAACAAAAGGATAAAATTAATATAAAAAACTATAGACCCGATTTATTTGCAGTCCTCAACTTTAATCTTATGTACCAACGAAAGTATGCAAAAAATATTTTTAACTCTTTTTTTATATAGACAGTTGTTAATATATTTTTTACATGTATTTCGGCTGTGAAAACTAAGAAAGGACAAAATATTTGCTTTAATATTTGAATTAAAATATCTGCAATTTAATTTGATATGTTTGTATCGTGTGTCAGTAGCGCTTTTCCAACTAACGTTCACACGATATAGGATTTTTCTAGGCCATGAGATTTCTTACTAAGATTCCTTTACAGTTAATTGGTAATAAACAATCATAGGTATAATTACAGTATAGTTAGGAAAATTTAAAATTAATTTTAAATTATTTCCAATTGTTAAAACGAAACGAAATAAAATATCACACAAAAAAGCAAGTGTGCTTAACTTGAACAAAATTTACATAATTTGTGTCGCGACAAAAATAAAATACTAACGATGACATAGTCGAAACTACAAAGACACTGTTGACTTTGTTTTTTCTGCGCCTGTCCGGTTTTTTATTTCAACAAGCTGTGTGTAAGGGTCTTAACAATGGCACTACGAATGAACACCTTCTCTTTATGCCTGAGGCGGTATCTTGAAGATGCACCAGAATAGACATTTTTCAGGCCAAACGCCTAAAGCTGTAAGTCTACTCTACAGAAATATGTTACAAAAGAGTGTTTCTTTTTATATATGGCTCTTTGTTAAAGTAATAAAAAATAGTTTATGTTACATGGAAGTTTATTTTATAACATTACTAGCTGTCGCCCGCGACTCCGTCCGTGCGGGATTAAACAAAACTTAATAAGTAGCCTATGTGTTCACTCGGACTAAGTTCTACATCATCAATTTAAGCGAGATCCATGCAGCCGTTCTGGAGATACCTACAAACAAACATCCATCCATCCATCCAAACATTCGTATTTATAACATAAGTAAAATAATGTAAAATAATTTCTGTCAAGAACTTGTAACATCAGAGTGAACATTTAAATAGAATCCTATATATTACATGAAGTGAATTTTTTATTCCCTTTTAAGGAAATTGCACAGACATATGAACTTGTATTTTGACAGTTAAAACTTATACAAAACTAACAAAGTACACATATTTCATATTTACGTAGTTGCATCAAACTTATCTGTGTCATTAAATCAAAGGTGGCATTGAGAGAAAATATCGTATACTTTAGAAGAGGCCACTTAATGGAGTACGATACACACGTGGAAGAGAGGCTACGTGTCTTATATTCTATCATGTGGCTTTGTACCAAATCTTTGAAACAACACAACTGTAAAATACAAAGTTAATCGATCTTTCTATTCTAAATAATTAAGTTATTTTAATGGAGATCACTATGCTCCTTGACCCCAAGCGTGGTAGACGTAAAAATATAAGTTTGGCTGAAATTAAAATAGTAACTTAATTAATATCACACTTTAAAGAACATTATCAACTTAAATACTACATCTTACTTAGCTAAATATAAACTGACTCGGTATGAGGCTATGTTTCAAAATAATTAACTTAAACCTGACTTACATTTTAATGTCTTCGGTCCATTTTAAGTCCCTATGGAGGTGCTCAAACATACCCAAGTTAGGATTAGGCTTAAAGCCACATTGGTCCAGTCTTTACTACCCACGCATCATTGAATTTCTTCGCAGATTTTTGACGCAAACACACATTTTAAGTGTTAATTTAGATAGATGGATGGATGGATGTTTAAAGGTATGTATCTCCGGAACGGCTAAACGGATCTTGATGAAATTTGGCACAGATTTAGAAC